TTAAGGTTTACTTTAAAAAGCAACTCCGACTTGATTCTCCTTTACTTTACTGAGATGGAACAGCAGATGCTAAAGTGGATAGGAACAAAGACTCTGAAGATACTCAGACTTTGAAAAGGAGGCTGAAAACTCCTGTTTTGCACTTATTTTATTGATCTATTTTAGAATTCCAAATGAGAGCGAATTGTCTCTCGAGGGCCGGTGGAATGATTGTGAAGCCTACCTCAGACAGTGAGGCGTTAAGGCCATGAGCCCACTGGGATTAACTGTCCTTGTTGTTGTCACTGGTCTCATTCGGTTTGAATGTTAAGCACTGTCACTACTGAGAAGATCCCTATGAGGCACTCCGTCTGTGGATACTCTGTGCTGCCAGGACATGCAGAACTCCATCCTTTGCCCTCCTGCTTACCCCCAATCCCCACCCTTTCCAGACTGCAGGTTCATTTTAAACCACTCTGTTCTATCTCCAGTTATGATAAAGCTGCATGGACAGGGTCAAGAAAAAGCAGTGACATAAAGTCAGGGGAGTAGAACACACAAAAATAATAGGCAATCATTAAACCTTGGAACTGAAGCAAATAGTTGCTTCTTAAAAAACAAAAACAAAACAACTTTTTACATAATTGTTTAACTTACAGAGAAAAGGTGAAAAGCTAATGCAAATAGTTTCTTTAAACTTTTTACCTGGATCCCTTGATTGTTAACCTTTTACCATTTTTTCTTTATTATTCTGATTATTTGAGAGTGAGTTGTAGACTTAATGCCCCACTAACCCTAAGCATTTCAGTATGTTTCCTAAAATTCAAGTGCACTCTGCTGAAAAATCACAGTACATCCTCCAATGTCAGGAAATCATGAATTCAACACTAGTGTCCAATGCACCGATGCCATTCAATATTCCTGATTGTTCAACAATATCTTTTACAATCATCCTTTCCTTCTCAGTCCAAAATCCAACCAAGGTCATTTGTTGTATTTAGTTTCAAGTCTGTACCTCCACCTTCAATGTGGCAAAATTCCTCAGTGTTTCCTTGTCTTTCCTTACTTGACACTTGAAGAGCATAGAGCTGGTACTTTGTTGAATGACCTTCAATTTGTGGTTGACTGATATTTCCTCTAGATTACTTTGAGGTCATACACTCTTGGCAGGAGTAACACAGACTTGATGCTGTGTTCTTCTCTGTGGATCATACTGGGTGGATAGTATATCAGGTTGTCCCACTGTTAATGACCTTGACGTTATCACTTATAAAGTATTTTATATTTATTAATAACTAAAAAGTACTTGAGTGATTAGTTTTAAACTAATTAAAAATATTTATGCAAGTACTTTTTTCTCATCAAACTTTCACCCACTAGTCTTTAGCATATGTTGTTGATTCTAATCTGAAGTACTTATTACTGTGATAGCTGATTTTCTCATCTCTTAATTTCTTCCATATGTATGAAATGGTGTTCTATTGCAAGGTAGAGCATTTCTTTCTCCCAGGACTTGAAATTAGGCTCCAGTTAAGCCAAAAGTTTGTTATTTCAAGGTCAAAACTGTCTCTGGGTCTAATGGATATTCAGCAATCTGTTGGTGAGGGTAACTAAGGTCTTTTTTTGTCCCTCACTGGAGGTACCATTTTCATTTTGCATTGAAACTTTCCGAGGCTTGGCCCACTCTATGGAAATTTAGGTCAGAGAAGACCCACTGAAGGATGAAATCTGCTCAGAGTCATCACTGTTCTTTCAGTGAGTTAATCTGTGTCCATTAGGACTCAGTAATAGGGCAGCAGTAGCCACTTTGTGAGGAAAAGTCTTGAAGTCCCAGTGGCGTTAGGTAAATGAGTTCTGGTAGGTTCTTATACCAAAGTTTTCAATTAGCTGTTAAGATTAGTCACAAAATGTCAATGATTCTGCAGAGTTTGGAGGAAATCAGGGAGTTTCAGGGAAAAGCTTAATTTACTGATACCTGGATTGCTACCCAGAGGCTTGGAACTATAGCAGATGTTTATTGCTAATATATAAAGAGAACCATCAGGTATTAAGTGTCTTTTTTGTGTGGGTAGTTGTTAGCTGCAGGGCCAGCAGTACATCCTTCATGGACCATGAAATGTTTTTTGGCCCAAGAGGGCCTCTAAGATGATCACTATAGGAGGGCCTTGGACTTTGTATTCCTTCAAGATCTATCTGTGCTTAGGTAGCATGCATATAAGAAGTTTTCTTGTAGGATATTGTATTTTAGAAGTTTTCTTTGTGGATGTCATATTAAGAAGTTTTTGTTGAATGTATTAACATGTGATATAGTTTATGCTTAATTTTTCTTTTTTAGTGATAAACACTGAAATATTTATGAATGAAATTATATAATGTCTTGGATTTGCTTTAAAATAATATGGGGATGATTGAGGAAGATGAAGAATGGGATATGGCAGAAACCAGGTTGGGTACAGGATGATAATTATTTAAATTAATTACTGGAGTCATAATAGTATTACAAATATTAATGTAAGATAAAGAAATTTTCAAATAAGAGGAAACTGACAAAATTTGTTGTCAGAAGACCTGCAATAAAGAAATGCTAAAGGAAGTTCTGCAGGCTAAGGAAATTGATACCAGATGGAAACTTGGATTTAAAAGCAGGAATGAAGAGCACAGGAAATGATAAATGTGGGAGAAAATATAAAATTTAAAGTTATTTTAAAGATATATGACTAACACAAAACAGTGTATTATGGGGTTTATAACATAAGTAGATGCAGTAGAGAGATGACAACAAATGCACAAAGGATAGTGAGAATTATATCATTACACTGGTCTTTAATTTTACATAAATATTAGCTCTATGTAGACTATGAAAAGTTAAAGATGCATATCATACTTCCTAGAAACAACTTTAAAAAGTAGTGCCAAGATACCCTAAAAAACAAATAAAGGAATTAAAATGGAATACAAAAATGATTATTAATTCAAATCAAGGCAAGAGAAGAGGAATAAAGTTTCATAAAACAGATGGGACAACCAAACAACAAATAACAAAATTGAGATTTGGGTTCAACTGTCACCAATCAGTCCTAAAGGAAATCATCTCTGAATGTTCATAGGACATTCATAGAAGGACTGATGTTGAAGCTGAAGCTCCAAAACTTTGGCCACCTGATGTGAAGAGCTGACTCATTGGAAAAGACCATGATGTTGGGAAAGGTTGAAAGACAAAGGAGAAGGGGGGTGGCAGAGGATGATTGGATAGCATCACTAACTCAATGGACATGAATTTGAGCAAACTCCAGGAGATAGTGAAGGACGAGGAAGCCTAGTGTGCTGCAGTCCATGGGGTTTCAAAGTAACAATTCATCAAGAAGTCACAACAATTATCAACATTTATGTACCAAATAACAGAGTTTGAAATTACATGACACAAAAACTGACAGAATAGAACCAAAGAAAAGGAAATTAGTTTGAATATAGAAGACCTGAGCAATCTTCTCATTCTCCTAGAACTAACATTTATAGAAAACTAGACACAACAATTTCCAAAAATATGTTATTTTTATGAGAAAAGTAACATTTATCAAGATGCATTATTTCCTGAGCCACAGACTAAGATTCAAACATTTCAAATTCTTGAAATCTTATTAAGTATATTCTTAAACAACAATGCAATAAATTTGGGGATTGATAAAAATAAGATATCTAGAAAATCCCCAAATATTTAGAGATTAACATCATTTATAAATAATCTATGATCAAATAAAAATCACAAGAGAAATTAGAAAGTATTTCAAGTTGAATGACAATGAAAATACGACATGGCTAAAGTGGACTGCAGTACAACTTAGAGGGATAATATAATGTAAATATTTTTGTTAAAGAAAAAAACAATTTAAAATTAACAATCTAAATTTCCACCTTAAGAAAAGGCGGGCGGGGGGGGGATATAGCAAACTATACCCAAAGTAAGTAGAAAGAGAGAATTGATGAAAAATGGAAATCAATATAATAGAAACTGAACAAACAATAGAGATAAACTATGAAAACAAAAACTGGTTTGTTATAAATAGTAACAAAATTGATGAACTCCTAGGAAGAGTAATCAAGGAAAACAGAGAGAGAAAATGTGAATTAGTAATATCAGGAATATAAAATTGGATGTTGCTACAGATTCTATGAATATCTAAAAAATATAAAATTATCAACAATTTTTTACTAATATGTTAAACAATTTAAATAGTTTTATAGATTCTACATACATGGTGAATGAATTGAAACAGTTTACTGCTCTCTTTTCAATACATATAGCTTTTATTATTTTCTTCCCTTATTGAACTGGCTAGTATCTCTATCCCATGTTATAGTAGTGAGTGTAGACAATCTTGCTTTGTCAAGAGGAAGACATTTACTATTTCACAATGAAGTGTGATGGAGCTATAGGTTTTTATTCTAATTGCATTGGGAAATTATTGCAGACTTTTACTTGCATGAGTGATATTATCTAATTTATATTTTTAAAAACCACTTGGGCTACTGTGTGGAAAATGGGCTCTAGGAAGACTGGAGTGGAAGCAGTGAGGCAATCAGGAGGTGACTGCACTTGCCCAGGAGAGAGGTGGTGGTGGCAGTGGGTGTTGAGAAAAGTGGCTGTGTTGGGGCATATATTTTGGGGTATCTATTTGTAGAGCTGACAGGACTTGTTGACTTATTGAATTTGGGTAAAGAAAAAACCCAGATTTACACTGTATACAACCATGTTTACTTCAGAATTTTTTTCCCCTGTGAATTTTAGATATTGATTGATATTGATAATATATAATTTTGTATTGATAACTCATTTTCCTCTTTAGAATGGATCGTTGAATGTGGATACAGTATTCTTAAAAATCTAGCCATATGTTACTTAGGACTTAATTTTTTTAAAGGTAGAACATTAGAGAAAGAACAGTGACCAATATTTATACTGGATTTTTAATCAATTTTAAATATTAGTGTTCTGAACTAAATTTCTGTATTTTTCTTTTTAGGGTTATCCAAGACTGGTTTTCAGAAAGGATGCAGGTGGCCAAAGTGGATTTCTCTACAGTGTTACCACGCTTCATTTCTCTATATATCTTTTCCTTTCTGAGTCCAAAAGATTTGTGTGCTGCTGCACAAGTCAGCTGGCCCTGGAAATTTTTAACTGAGCAGGTTTACCATTTGTCACTTCCTGGGAATAGGGCTCAGATGCAACTGTCATCTGTAATGAGGCAATGAGGGTAGCTCCTTTCCCTGAAAATAATAACTGAGGGTGTCTGAACCATAATTAATTTATCCTTAAGAGAAGAAAATAGCAAATTTTTTAAATGGGGAATTATATTTAATGGGGGAATTAAATAATTATTTTATAAGTCAGGGGATATACACTATTCTAATAATTCATATAATTCTGATCATCTTTAAATACTCAATTTAGTTATTTAGGAAATAATTTATCTTGGTTAAGAAGTCCAATATTTTGTGAAAATTTATTTAAGATTTGGTTTTAAATGATATTGTTTTAGTCATGATAACCCACCTTAAAAATTGCTCTACAACCACAACTTTAACTGCTCCCTCTTTGGCTAACCTCTGTTGAAGAATATAAAACTAGATCTTCTACATCTGCTGCCACTAATTCTGCCTCTGGGATATTTATCTCTTTACTTTTAAAAGACTTAATGAAATGTAATAGCCGGCATACTTTAAATACAAATCAATAATTTACTCCTTTAACTTATACAAACTTTCCAGGATGGACTTATGTTGAGATTCTGATCTCACAGAATACCTGGCTCTCCATGGAGGGGCCACATGAAAAGCCAACTGTGAGCCCTGGATTTATAGCATTTGTGAATCCAGGTTTAGTGTTCCCATGGTATAGTGTTTCCTCTTTTTTAACTTTCAACCTTTCTCTGTCCTTACATTTAAGAAACATCCTTATAAACAAATTATGGTAGTGGTTTTCTTTTACTACTTGACAATCTTTGACTTTTACCTGGACTCATTTAGTCTGTTCACGTTTATGTAAATACTGATACATTTGCGCTTAAGTCCACTATTTTACTATTTTTATTTACTATTTTATATTTTGTTTTTCTGTCTTCTTTTAGGATTAACTTAAATATTTCTTAGATTAATTTTAAATTCTTTAGCAGTTCTTTCATGGCTACCATAGAAATTACAGCACTTATCCTAGGGTTATTCACCACCTCTGAGATAATGCAAGGAGCATAGAACTCTTTAATTCCATTTGCTTCCCTGTTCAGTTTCTGTGCTTTTGTTCTCAAACATCTTAATTTTACACACACACACATATAAAACACACAAACATACATTAAAATATATATGCAAATATAAAAATAATTTATAATATCTTTTGTATTTAAAATATATGTATACCTCATGAATATTTATTACAATTGTTTAATACATAGTCAATATTTATTTACAAGTAAACTTTTTCTGTTATGCTTCATACCTTTCTGCATCTCTGATTTCCCTACGGGGTTCAGTTTTTTCTGAATTCTCTTTAATATTTCTTTTAGTACAGCTTACTACTGACAGATTCTCTTAGTTTTTGTCTGAAAATGTCTTTACTTCACCTTCAAATGTGAAGGATATTTTCACTGGGAATTTGAACTCTAGGTTGGCAATTAATTTTTTATTAGAACTTTGAAAATATTCCATTGCTCTCTGGCTTTCATAATTTCTTGAAAAGTAGGGAGTTTTATTGTTGGTCCTTGAAAGGTAATGTTTCTGTTTGCTCTAGCTTCTTTTAGGATCTTTTTCTCTGCCTTTGGTTTTCTGCAAGTAAGATCCCCTGGGGGAGGAAAGCACAACCCACTCCAGTATTCTTGCCTGGGAAATCCTATGGATAGAGGAGTCTGGTGGGCCACAGTCCATGGGGTCACAAAGAGTCAGACACGACTTAGTGACTGAGCAACATGCCCAGAGGGGTGTGTGTTTATCCTGTTTTGTATTTTGCACTGATTTATAAATTGTGGGTTTTATGTCTTTTATAAACTCTGATAAAAGTTCTCAGATTCTCAGATTCTGTCTCTTCATATATTATTTTTGCTCCAGTTTTTGTTTTTTCCTCTGGGTTTTGATTTGTTACATTGATCCACCATGTCCCATAAGGTTCATATTCTTTTATGTGTCTTTTCCATTGTTCTGGCTTTCAGTGTTTCAGTCTGGATTTTTCTTCTGGCCTAACTTTCAGTATATTAATTATCTCTTTAGCTGGATTCTAATTTGCTCTTAAACTTGTCCCTTGAGTTCTAAATTTGTTATTATATTTTTCAGTTTTAGAGTGTTGGTCTGATTACTTTGCCAAAATTTTCCACCCAGCCATTTAGTTTCTTAAGTGTATTAACTACAAGTTTTTTTTTTAAGTTCGTGCCTGATAATTACAACTTTTGGATCTCCTGGGGGTCTCTATTTACTAAAAAACAAAAGAAGAAACAAATAATTCTTGTCTTTTTTTGTGTGCCTGCTATTTTTGGTTGAGTACCAAATATTTCATATAAAAAATTGATGCAATAATTTGAGTCTCCAGATGATGTTATCTTCCTCCAGAGAGAACTTGCTTCTGGCATTTGGTTAGGCTAGGAATAGCTTATTTAAATCCAATCAGAGAATGAGATATTTCAAAGCTAGTTTCAACCTAATTCTTTGTCATTCTTACTGAAAAGGATCTCAGCTAAAAGCCAGGATCATTACCAAGGCTATTCCCCTTTGTGGGCTCTGAATGTTTCCTCTCTTCCCTGCAAGAATCCTTACGGTTCTTAACACCTTCTATGTTTTTCAGTCAAAACGTCCTGCTCTGCTCCTCAGCCTCAGTTTTGCTTTGGAACTGTCAGGTGTCTGGAAGTGAAAAGTGAGACTGAATCAGGATATTACTTTTCTGGGCTTCCCTCCTCTAAGGCCTTGGTTATACAAGTCTTCATTGAATTGGTACCTTAAGTAATTGTTTTACAGTATTTTCTCTAGATTTTGATTAGATGAAACCACATGAAATTTGCTGTTTTCATTGCATATTGGCAGTATTATGTGGGTCAAAGTTGTTCCCAGTGCAAAGGTTGGTGTTAAACAAATAACCATACCATCGCTAGAAGCAAAATTCTCAGAATCTGGTGCATACGCTATGGGAGCATTGAATAAGTATACAAAGATGACTAGTACATATATTCGTATAAAATATACATGTTCATAAAATAATATTTTTCCTATGGAGTAAGGTATGCATCTTATTTCTCAGAATCAAGTTTAGATGGCAAATCAACTGCATTAAAAATCTCAATGTAATAAGAAAAAATTATCTATGTGCCTAAAAAGATTATTACTAGGAAACGGTCCTTGCAACTCATCTTTCTCATTTCTTTTTCTGAAGGATTGTTTATGGATGCCCAAATGCATTAAGTTTGGATGGTTTCTGCCCTATACGCCAACAGATAATGAGTATGGTGCTTGGAAACACCATTACATTGCTTGTGTGTCCAACTTAGATTGGCTAACCCCTAGGGAAGCTGCTGCTGTTTATGGGACTCTGAATGAACCCAAAACAGAAGATGAAGAGCTACAGGAGAGGCAAAGAGAAAAGTGCCTAAGGAAAATAGTTTGGGAGAAAATTGCACTACACAAGCGTGAGTGATATTTTACAACTTTATGTCTTAGCCGAGTATTGTAGAAACCAATGGATTTACATACAAATTCCCACGGAAGAGGATAGCACCGTCTTCATGAAATAGCCTTTAGGTGGCATTCTTTAAAGTATGTCAGGGAAAGCTCTTTGTTCTTTACAATTAACTAAAAACAAAAAGATTTCCAACGAAATATGTAAGGTTAAATGCCAGTGCCTCCGTGAGACTAAAGGTAAGGCGAGAGCAGCACAAACACAGGCAAAAGCAAACACATTCAGGACAATTCAGAAGAATTAGTATTGGTGACAACATAGGGAAAATGGAAATGGAAGCAAGAAGAATGACATTTTTTTTAAGGTGCAAAGGGAGCCGGGATGAGACATGCTCTCAGCTCAGCCCTCTGATCTGCACGGTGTGTAATGAGCAAACCTGATCTGAGTTCTCCCATCTTGCTTTCTCACTGACTCACCCTCTGTGAGACTGTAACAAATGGGAAATTTACTTGAAGCCAAGAAGAGAGGCAAAAATGATGTGAAGCCTACAAATTGATGAACTTGGTTTCTATGAGAAAAGAGTTGCTTATTCTCTGAGCTTTGTTTCTTGACCTGAAGTGACTGGTAACTTGCAGCTATAGAGCAGAGAGGATAAGAGAACCAAAGAGAGTCTGTAAAGTGGCTGTAATTACTGCCATCTGGAATACTGCCCTGGTACAGCTTCAATTTTGATGGCTTTATCTGTGTAGACTTGGCTGGGAGAAGCTTGAAGTAAACAGCCAAGCCTGCTGCTGTTTGTTTTTCAGAGGAGTTGTTCAAAGTTCGACCCCCTTGGGTGAGTGGAACACACTGCTCTAGATTGTTCAAATCCAAATGCCAGCCACGTCTCTCCCAGACTGTGAGGGATCGAGTGAGATTACATGAAACTTTGGAGAAACAGCTTGTTTTGTCATCTTTAGAATCTTTGCCCAAGCGGTAAGCAAACCTTCATCTGTTGAAGGTTCAGCACCTTCCCATGATACCAAGAACTCATTCCAGAATAATTTAGCTAACATGCAGTGATCTTGTATAATTTTTTTTTGGTCTTGTATAATTAAATCACTCTTATCCTATAAAATAGCAATAGAAATAGTTCCTTAATCTTCAGTGACAGTGGTCTTGAACATGCTTTCTGAAGTAAATACGTAACATTCAAAATTTACATTTCAAATATTCTTAACTCTGCAAAGAAGCTATATTGTGGATGTAGCAGCTTTTCTGTATTGTTATTGAGCAAAAATAACATTTTTTCCAGAATTTTTTTCCGTTTATTTTTATTAGTTGGAGGCTAATTACAATATTGTAGTGGTTTCTGCCATACTAGAATTTTTTTTTTTTAATGGAGTAAGTATATCCGTCCTAATGGTGGTGGGGATGAGGCGACTGTAGAAATAATGGACATTATTTGAAAAAACCATGAGGCACAGGTGATTAGGGAAATTTAAAATATCTTGGGCTGCTTCCTTTTCGAATGTTATTTTGAACCCTTTAGTATGTCAGGACATTGGTTTTAAGTGCCCTACAAAAGTAAGTCCCAAGAACACATTCTAGCATCCCATGAAGACAGGAGGAGACACCCGGTGTGTAGCTTTGGCCCCACTCACCCAGGAGTCCCCTTTGCTGACATCTGTGAAAACCACAGGGAGACACCAAGGTCCTGAAGCTGCTTGCCTTGTACAGAGAACTGATGCCCAGAGGACACAATGGTGCTCACTTATCAAACTAGAGAAAATAAAAACTTCACTTTTCCCCCCTCTTTTCCTCACAGAAGCAACATTTCTGGATGCCATTCCTACCCTTTATTATCAAAGAAAAATTGGCGTGGAGTTTATAAAAATGACAGCAGTTCTTCAAACGCTCTCCAGCCACACTTCATATTAATATCATCTCGGATTCCTGCATATGAGGTACAGTGTGTTAGGAGGCCAGCACTTCTCTGAATTGGGTTTTTTTTTAATCTTCCCTAGAATAGACGTATGGCAATCTTTTGGTCACCATGTGTATGAAAATGATTCATCTCCTAAAGGGAAAGCTGTCTGAAATAAGTGGAAATGTACAGACCCAAACAGTTTTAAAAATCAGAAGCAATAAAAATAACCATAAATCAAAATTATTTTTTTTATATTAAAGGCCCAACTGCCTTGCTTTTAGGGGTCCAATAAATTTTTGTTGAATTCAATTTTTTGCCCCTAATCCACAAAAAAGCAAAGTTATACAAATTATTTTAAAATTTCTTTGGCATGACTGAGGAATTTAATAATATCTTGTAACTAGCATCTCTAAAAAGAAAACTGTCAGAAATCTATTTTGTGATCTACATAATGAAGGTGACTTTAAATGAAAATATGCTCTTTCTATAATGAAGTTATATATTTTAAATTTTAATGTGAATAAGAAAAAGGAAAGAAGACATAGGAAGCATGTATACATGTGAGTATGCATGTATGCATGTATATGTACATACACATGCATTGATACACACATAGGCATACATAAGGGATGGCATTAGTAGAATGTATTTGTTGGCTTACTTAGTTCTTGCAAAAAATTCTATTTGTAAGAAAATGGTTGCTTTCAAGGTATGAAATTATTGTTGAACATCTAGGAGTTGACTTTGATCATTTACAACTGGCTAGCTTAATGGATCCATATGAAAGCAAGATCAGAGTTTGATCTCCATGTGGGCCATAGATAGTTTCTCTAATGTTTAAAAATACCTCATGCTGGGCACAGAGGATGACTGATGACAGAGTAAGAGTGAATAAAGTGAAATTGAATAAATCCATGATCCTGTTTGTCTTCTTTATGTAAGACTATGCCAGACTTACTCATCTGACTATGAATGTAATGGAGGTCTAGGTAAAAACCATGAAACCATGTGGTAGTTCTCTATTCAGTTGAACTGTGATCTCCAGAAAGTGGCATGAGGTTTTGGGAAAAATCAATGCCTTCAATGACTTTACAACCTTACTGCTGCTAAGGAATTAACTTTATCAAAGTGAAAAGTTTATTTGGTTGTTGAATTCAAAGAACAGTGGTTTTAGCATTTATTTACTACGAAATAAATATTTACCAATATTGATCATTCAAAAATTTATAATTAAGAGGACAACAAAATCTATTTAAGAAGTCTGTTATAAAATTACATACTTTTATTACTTTAGTGTATATGTCACTGTGCATGGGTATGTACAAAGATAAAAAAACTGGAAGAAAATAATTCATTAGTGTTTCTTTGAGTGGTGGATGGTGGAGTTACAAATGCAAATTTCCCCTGTTAGAAAAAAAAAACAAAATAATTTAAAAGAGAAACTAGTGGTGGGGAAAATTTATCATCTTCCTCCTATAATTTCGGAAGAAAAACAATAGTCTTCAAAAATCATAGATTACATAGTCACTGTTTTTAATTTATTAAAAAGTATTCTAAAGTAACAGGCTTCCCTGGTGGCTCAGATGGTAAAGAATCTGCCTATAGTGCAGGAAACCTGGGTTCAGTCCCTGGGTCGGGAAGATCCCCTGGAGAAGGAAATGGCAACCCACTCCAGTATTCTTACCTGGAGAATTCCATGGACAGAGAAGCCTTGTGGGCTACAGTCCATGGAGCCACAAAGTTGGACATGCCTGAGTGAGTAACACATTCTAAAGTAACAGGCTTTGGTTCCTACTGGTCTGGTTTTGTTTTCTAGATGGTGGCAAACAGTGTTAGAGCAGGTATCATTTCTGTGGTATATGAACACAGTGGCCTAAACTTGGAGACCCTACTTTATCTCATAGAAAAAGCTCTGGATGGGCAGATGGCACAGAGTGTGGGAATATTCAGTGACGGAGATAGCAGAGAAATCAACTTACTCCAAGGTAAGACTGGGGATTGGGAAGAAAAATTTGCACTGAGGTAGTGTTTGTCCACAATTTAAGGAGGTTGCTATCCCATCTCAAAGCAATCAGGCAGGAGGAGTTCCTTCTTACTCTTTTTTTTTTTTTAATTTATTTTTTTTTCCATTTATTTTTATTAGTTGGAGGCTAATTACTTTACAATATTGCAGTGGTTTTTGTCATACATTGAAATGAATTAGCCATGGATTTACATGTATTCCCCATCCTGGTCCCCCCTCCCACCTCCCTCTCCGGCCCATCCCTCTGGGTCTTCCCAGTGCATCAGGCACGAGCACTTGTCTCATGCATCCAACCTGGGCTGGTGATCTGTTTCACCCTAAATATACATGTTTCGATGCTGTTCTCTTGAAACATCCCACCCTCGCCTTCTCCCACAGAGTCCACAAGTCTGTTCTATACATCTGAGTCTCTTTTTCTGTTTTGCATATAGGGTTATCGTTACCATCTTTCTAAATTCCATATATATGTGTTAGTATACTGTAATGGTCTTTATCTTTCTGGCTTACTTCACTCTGTATAATGGGCTCCAGTTTCATCCATCTTATTAGAACTGATTCAAATGAATTCTTTTTAATGGCTGAGTAATATTCCATGGTGTATATGTACCACAGCTTCCTCATCCATTCGTCTGCTGATGGGCATCTAGGTTGCTTCCATGTCCTGCCTATTATAAACAGTGCTGCGATGAACATTGGGGTGCACGTGTCTCTTTCAGATCTGGTTTCCTCGGTGTGTATGGCCAGAAGTGGGATTGCTGGGTCATATGGCAGTTCTATTTCCAGCTTTTTAAGAAATCTCCACACTGTTTTCCATAGTGGCTGTACTAATTTGCATTCCCACCAACAGTGTAAGAGGGTTCCCTTTTCTCCACACCCTCTCCAGCATTTATTGCTTGTAGACTTTTGGATAGCAGCCATCCTGACTGGCATGTAATGGTACCTCATTGTGGTTTTGATTTGCATTTCTCTGATAATGAGTGATGTTGAGCATCTTTTCATGTGTTTTTTTGCCATCTGTATGTCTTCCTTGGAGAAATGTCTGTTCAGTTCTTTGGCCCATTTTTTGATTGGGTCATTTATTTTTCTGGAATTGAGCTGCAGGAGTTGCTTGTATATTTTTGAGATTAATCCTTTGTCTGTTGCTTCATTTGCTATTATTTTCTCCCAATCTGAGGGCTGTCTTTTCACCTTACTTATAGTTTCCTTTGTTGTGCAAAAGCTTTTAAGTTTCATTAGGTCCCATTTGTTTATTTTTGCTTTTGTTTCTAAAATTCTGGGATGTGGGTCATAGAGGATCCTGCTGTGATTTATGTCGGAGAGTGTTTTGCCTATGTTCTCCTCTAGGAGTTTTATAGTTTCTGGTCTTACATTTAGATCTTTAATCCATTTTGAGTTTATGTTTGTGTATGGTGTTAGAAAGTGTTCTAGTTTCATTCTTTTACAGGTGGTTGACCAGTTTTCCCAGCACCACTTGTTAAAGAGGTTGTCTTTTTTCCATTGTATATCCTTGCCTCCTTTGTCAAAGATAAGGTGACCATAGGTTCGTGGATTTATCTCTGGGCTTTCTATTCTGTTCCATTGATCTATATTTCTGTCTTTGTGCCAGTACCATACTGTCTTGATGACTGTGGCTTTGTAGTATAGTCTGAAGTCCGGCAGGTTGATTCCTCCAGTTCCATTCTTCTTTCTCAAGGTTACTTTGGCTATTCGAGGTTTTTTGTATTTCCATACAAATTGTGAAATTATTTGTTCTAGTTCTGTGAAAAATACCGTTGGTAGTTTGATAGGGATTGCATTGAATCTATAGATTGCTTTGGGTAGTATAGCCATTTTGACAATATTGATTCTTCCAATCCATGAACATGGTATATTTCTCCATCTGTTTGTGTCCTCTTTGATTTCTTTCATTAGTGTTTTATAGTTTTCTATGTATAGGTCTTTTGTTTCTTTAGGTAGATATACTCCTAAGTATTTTATTCTTCTCGTTGCAATGGTGAATGGTATTGTTTCCTTAATTTCTCTTTCTGTTTTCTCATTGTTAGTGTATAGGAATGCAAGAGATTTCTGTGTGTTAATTTTTTTTTTTCATTTATTTTTATTAGTTGGAGGCTAATTACTTTACATCATTGCAGTGGTTTTTGTCATACATGAAATGAATTAGCCATGGATTTACATGTATTCCCCATCCTGGTCCCCCCTCCCACCTCCCTCTCCACCCGAACCCTCTGGGTCTTCCCAGTGCACCAGGCCCGAGCACTTGTCTCATGCACCCAACCTGGGCTGGTGATCTGTTTCACCCTAGATAATATACGTGTTTCGATGCTGTTCTCTTGAAACATCCCACCCTCGCCTTCTCCCAGAGTCCACAAGTCTGTTCTATACATCGGAGTCTCTTTTTCTGTTTTGCATATAGGGTTATTGTTACCATCTTTCTAAATTCCATATATATGTGTTAGTATACTGTAATGGTCTTTATCTTTCTGGCTTACTTCACTCTGTATAATGGGCTCCAGTTTCATCCATCTCATTAGAACTGATTCACATGAATTCTTTTTAATGGCTGAGTAATATTCCATGGTGTATATGTACCACAGCTTCCTCATCCATTCGTCTGTTGATGGGCATCTAGGTTGCTTCCATGTCCTGGCTATTATAAACAGTGCTGCGATGAACATTGGGGTGCACGTGTCTCTTTCAGATCTGGTTTCCTTGGTGTGTATGCCCAGAAGTGGGATTGCTGGGTCATATGGCAGTTCTATTTCCAGCTTTTTAAGAAATCTCCACACTGTTTTCCATAGTGGCTGTACTAATTTGCATCCCCACCAACAGTGTAAGAGGGTTCCCTTCTCTCCACACCCTCTCCAGCATTTATTGCTTGTAGACTTGTGGATAGCAACCATCCTGACTGGTGTGTAATGGTACCTCATTGTGGTTTTGATTTGCATTTCTCTGATAATGAGTGATGTTGAGCATCTTTTCATGTGTTTGTTAGCCATCTGTATGTCTTCCTTGGAGAAATGTCTGTTCAGTTCTTTGGCCCATTTTTTGATTGGGTCATTTATTTTTCTGGAGTTGAGCTGGAGGAGTTGCTTGTATATTTTTGAGATTAATCCTTTGTCTGTTGCTTTGTTTGCTATTATTTTCTCCCAATCTGAGGGCTGTCTTTTCACCTTACTTATAGTTTCCTTTGTTGTGCAAAAGCTTTTAAGTTTCATTAGGTCCCATTTGTTTATTTTTGCTTTTGTTTCTAAAATTCTGGGATTTGGGTCATAGAGGATCCTGCTGTGATTTATGTCGGAGAGTGTTTTGCCTATGTTCTCCTCTAGGAGTTTTATAGTTTCTGGTCTTACATTTAGATCTTTAATCCATTTTGAGTTTATGTTTGTGTATGGTGTTAGAAAGTGTTCTAGTTTCATTCTTTTACAGGTGGTTGACCAGTTTTCCCAGCACCACTTGTTAAAGAGGTTGTCTTTTTTCCATTGTATATCCTTGCCTCCTTTGTCAAAGATAAGGTGACCATAGGTTCGTGGATTTATCTCTGGGCTTTCTATTCTGTTCCATTGATCTATATTTCTGTCTTTGTGCCAGTACCATACTGTCTTGATGACTGTGGCTTTGTAGTATAGTCTGAAGTCCGGCAGGTTGATTCCTCCAGTTCCATTCTTCTTTCTCAAGGTTACTTTGGCTATTCGAGGTTTTTTGTATTTCCATACAAATTGTGAAATTATTTGTTCTAGTTCTGTGAAAAATACCGTTGGTAGTTTGATAGGGATTGCATTGAATCTATAGATTGCTTTGGGTAGTATAGCCATTTTGACAATATTGATTCTTCCAATCCATGAACATGGTATATTTCTCCATCTGTTTGTGTCCTCTTTGATTTCTTTCATTAGTGTTTTATAGTTTTCTATGTATAGGTCTTTTGTTTCTTTAGGTAGATATACTCCTAAGTATTTTATTCTTCTCGTTGCAATGGTGAATGGTATTGTTTCCTTAATTTCTCTTTCTGTTTTCTCATTGTTAGTGTATAGGAATGCAGGAGATTTCTGTGTGTTAATTTTATATCCTGCAACTTTACTGTATTCATTGATTAGCTCTAGTAATTTTCTGGTAGAGTCCTTAGGGTTTTCTATGTAGAGGATCATGTCATCTGCAAACAGAGAGAGTTTCACTTCTTCTTTTCCTATCTGGATCCCTTTTACTTCTTTTTCTGCCCTATGTTGAATAGTAGTGGTGAGAGTGGGCACCCTTGTCTTGTTCCTGATTTCAGGGGAAATGCTTCCAATTTTTCACCATTGAGGGTGATGCTTGCTGTGGGTTTGTCATATACAGCTTTTATTATGTTGAGGTATGCTCCTTCTATTCATGCTTTCTGGAAAGTTTTAATCATAAATGAGTGTTGAATTTTGTCAAAGGCTTTCTCTGCATCTATTGAGATAATCATATGGTTTTTATCTTTCAATTTGTTAATGTGGTGTATTACATTGATTGATTTGCGGATATTAAAGAATCCTTGCATTCCTGGGATAAAGCCCACTTGGTCATGGTGTATGATTTTTTTAATATGTTGTTGGATTCTGTTTGCTAGAATTTTGTTAAGGATTTTTACATCTATGTTCATCAGTGATATTGGCCTGTAGTTTTCTTTTTTTGTGGCATCTTTGTCTGGTTTTGGAATTAGGGTGATGGTGGCCTCATAGAATGAGTTTGGAAGTTTACCTTCTTCTGCAATTTTCTGGAAGAGTTTGAGTAAGATAGGTGTTAGCTCTTCTCTAAATTTTTGGTAGAATTCAGCTGTGAAGCCATCTGGTCCTGGGCTTTTGTTTGCTGGAAGATTTCTGATTACAGTTTCGATTTCCTTGCTTGTGATGGTTTTGTTAAGATCTTCTATTTCTTTCTGGTTCAGTTTTGGAAAGTTATACTTCTCTAAGAACTTGTCCATTTCTTCCAAGTTGTCCATTTTATTGGCATAGAGCTGCTGGTAGTAGTCTCTTATCATCCTTTGTATTTCAGTGCTGTCTGTTGTGACCTCTCCATTTTCATTTCTAATTTTGTTAATTTGGTTCTTCTCCCTTTGTTTCTTAATGAGTCTTGCTAATGGTTTGTCAATTTTGTTTATTTTTTCAAAAAACCAGCTTTTAGCTTTGTTGATTTTTGCTATGGTCTCTTTAGTTTCTTTTGCATTTATTTCTGCCCTAATTTTTAAGATTTCTTTCCTTCTACTAACCCTGGGGTTCTTCATTTCTTCCTTCTCTAGTTGCTTTAGGTGTAGAGTTAGGTTATTTATTTGACTTTTTTCTTGTTTCTTGAGGTAGGCCTGTAATGCTATGAATCTTCCCCTTAGCACTGCTTTTACAGTGTCCCATAGGTTTTGGGTTGTTGTGTTTTCATTTTCATTCATTTCTATGCATATTTTGATTTTTTTTTTATTTCTTCTATGATTTGTTGGTTATTCAGAAGTGTGTTGTTTAGCCTCCATATGTTTGAATTTTTAATAATTTTTTTCCTGTAATTGAGATCTAATCTTACTGCACTGTGGTCAGAAAAGATGACTGGAATGATTTCAATTTTTTTAAATTTACCAAGACTAGATTTATGGCCCAGGATGTGATCTATTCTGGAGAAGGTTCCGTGTGCACTTGAGAAAAAGGTGAAGTTGATTGTTTGGGGGTGAAACGTCCTATAGATGTCAATAAGGTCTAGCTGGTCCATTGTGTCCTTTAAAGTTTGTGTTTCCTTGTTCATTTTCTGTTTAGTTGATCTATCCATAGGTGTGAGTGAGGTATTAAAGTCTCCTACTATTATTGTGTTACTATTAATTTCCTCTTTCATACTCGTTAGTGTTTGCCTTACATATTGCGGTGCTCCTATGTTCCTTCTTACTCTTTTTCTTTCTTTACTGGGGCTCAGGAAGGCAGTCTCCAGGACTCCTTTAGAAATTGGTGCAGACACATGCAGACTAGCTGAATCATCACATTCAATTCCCAGGAGGTGAAAGGTAAAGTGAAGTTTCCCATGCCTGAGAGCCTTACTTCTGCTCTTGAGGACATATTGATTGATTGGCAATCATGGGAAACATTTCCACTTTGGAACTTGGTTGCAAAGTCCCAGGACTTGACTGGCCATTGACCAACCATGCCATGAGCCTGGTAACTAACACTGCTGCCCCACGGAAGTGGAGACACGATGTCCTTAACCTAAGCACTCCATGTCTAATAAATCCAGGACAGGAGGAGAGTGTTGTCTTGTTGGAGTTCAGTAGTTCCTTTTATGGTCCTAACATGGGGCCATTACTGAAGCAGAGATGCCCTGCAGATCTTGGCCTTACAAGCAGATGTTGGCGTTTTGAACCTCTATATTTTCACAACACAAACTGCTCTTAGCTTCTGCTAAAGTAATGTGACATTTTGATTTCCTCCCCCTCAGGGTATAAAATTGGTATTAAAAATTTATTGATGCCTGAAGTGAGAGACTTCTGGGAAAAATTAGGAAGCTATGTGGCCCCTGAAGAAGAAGGGGGTCACGTGGACCTCTTTGTACCACTTGGAGCATCAGGTCAGTTTTGAGAGGTAGTGGTCATACCTACTTTGTGATGATTTATAAAATGTCCTCAATTCAAATAACTAAGTTACGTTTATTTTTTAATTTTTTCTCCTTATACTTCACATACTCAGATATTTAGGGGGAAAGGACATCAAGGTTAGTGGTCAGAGTAACCTGTCCCTAAAGAAATAGTCATTAGTGGAAAGAGCCAACCAGAAAAATTATTTCTATTTCTTCTGGAAAACACAGTAAAATCAGCCTCCACAGTGCAGGTGAAAATGCCAGACCAGCACTGGGACCATGAGCAGCCTGTATGAGGAACCTTCCCTGTTGGGTTCAGAATCTGGAAGAAGTGGGCATGAACTTGGTGACCAGGGACCTGGACTTCAATTCCACTCATGTGACTTGAGCTGTGTGGTCTTAGGCTAGTTTGTGGACCTCTGTTTCCTCATATGAAAGTTAGGATAATAATATCTTACCTTATTGGACCTGTGAGTATCAAAATACATATAAAATACTCAAATGTTGGAGTATCAAAAAATGGTGAAGTGCCTTGTAAAGATGAGTGTGGTAACTTATCATTTTAAGTGCCTGTCTAGTATCAGCCATATTTAACATAAAAGCTCTGCTTTCTTGAATTCATGGGCTATGTTTTTTGTTTATTTCTTTGTTGTTGTTTTTTAGCTAAGCAGAACATGGGAAAGGAAGTGTGGAATTAAAGTTTCTCAAACTGTTTCTTGCTACCCATTCCTTAGGGAACTTAAATTTAGTTCTTAATCCTTAGATTTCATTGGACTATTCAACTGATACAAAGCATGACTCTGGCAGGATTCCTCTAGGCAAAGGAAGTATAGCAAAGAGTTTAAAAGAAAATGAAGTACAAATTATTGTAAAAAGATAGTTTTTACAATTACTACAAGTATATAATCTCAATTATGTAGAAAATAGGGATAGACAACTCTAGGAGGAAATATAGCTCACTATTAACTGTCTATCTCTAGATCTGTTATTTCAAATTTTCTTTTAAAATCAGTTTGAAAAGGGTAAGTTAAAAAGAATGTGGAAGGTGTGACCCCAATGTTTAAAATCTGTGTATGTGACAGGGAGGGTGGTGGTGGGGTGTGTGTATAAGAAGGGTTTGGAAGCATATATACCATCATGCTGACAATAGTTGGATAATAGTAGTGAGTTTTCCTGTCTTTTATATTTTCCTTTTTCTTTGATCTTTTTTTTGTCTCTATTTTCTGTAGTGAACTAGTATTAATTTTAAAATGAGAGCAAAACAAAATTTTTAATGGGAGTGGTGGGGGGAAAGGATGTTAAAAAGTATCGTATTGAAAGGCCAAGAGAATATGGGCAAAAGGGGAAAAGAACAGTAGATTTAGTGACACAAAAATGGTCTCAAGTGAAACTTAATGGTACTCAACAGATTTCCCATTGCCATTCTGGGCCCCCAGGTCATCCCTGAATGTCTCATCAAATATAATTTCTCCTAGGTGAACCATCGAGACCCTGGTTCAGTCAGAAGGCCCTGGCTTCTCAGTCAAAAATCTTCCACCACCTTGGGAATCACTCTGGAGCCTGTCAGTCCTATAGCTATACCACCTCTGAAATCTTTATCTTAAGCATTTGTCTCTGAGTACCACTTCCAAATCGTGTCCTCAAATATTCCCACTCTATCGGTTCTTTGCCTGAGGATCTCCAATCCACATACTCCCACTTACTCACTCTCCATCACCATGCCTTCAAACTTGGTTCCTTCCTCATTAAACCTAGATTTACTGGTTTGTCATTATCATCTCTCTTGCAAAGAACCTTAACTTCTTTTCTGCTGGCCAAACCCCAGTTTATTTGGCTAAATCCCAATGCCAGCTGGAGAAGAAAATGGCAACCCACTCCAGTGCTCTTGCCTGGAAAATCCCATGGAAAGAGGGGCCTGGTGGGCTGCAGTCCGTGGCGTTGCAAAGAGTCGGATATGACTGAGTGACTTCACTTTTCACTTTCATGCACTGGAGAAGGAAATGGCAACCCACTCCAGTGTTCTTGCCTGGAGAATCCCAGGGACCGGGGAGCCTGGTGGGCTGCCATCTATGGGGTTGCACAGAGTCGGGCATGACTGAAGTGACTTAGCAGCAGCAGCAGCAATGCCTATTAGAACACAATCTTCTGCATAATCTATGCCTGCCAGTACTGAAGCAGCTGAAGACTGTTGGAAAGAGTAATAAAACTGTTCTTACTGATCAACTTTAATGCCATAAATACCAAATGGGATTGGAGCTCTGACAAGCAATCCTACCACATTTCCTTGGTAAATTCATTTTCCCACTCTTTAATGACTATGTCATCCCTTCTCCTCTTTAGTCAATCTTTCAATAACCCTCTCTCTCACTTGTTGATTTCACCATTTACTTCCCTAAGGAAACCCCTTAATATACCTCCCACCACAGAACCCACCATCTATCCCACCTCTTACATTCATCCCGTCTCCCCTTCTGTTACGGTGAAAGAAGCACCCCTGCTTGAATCAAACATCAGCTGCTCCACTTGGACACCGGATTGCACCGCCTTTCACCTTCTCAAGACATCACTCCTATGCTCAAATCCGCTCCCAGAGCCTCAATCCTATTGGATTAATCCTATCAGAGCAAGAACACCTGTAGTAGCTCCTCCACTCTCCCTCCCCCCCCGAAAAAGAGACCATAAACTTTCTCTCACATGAGTTGACTATACCAATGGTTCTCAAGTTGTTGACGTGTATTTGACTCACCTAGAGTCAAATACAAGACCTAGAGTCACCTAGAGGGCTTGTCACAATCCACATTGCTGGATCCCACCCTAGTGTTTCAGATTCAGGTCTGGCATGGGAGCTGAGAATTTGGCAATGCTGATGCTGCTGATCCCAGAGCCACACTTGGAGAACTATTGGTATAGCTCAGAGGTCCCCAACCTTTTCAGCGGCAGGGACCGATTTTGGGGAAAACAGTTTTTCCATGGACCAGAAATAGGGGTTTGGGATGATTCGAGCACATTACATTTATTATGCACTTTGTTTCTAATCTAATGCTTTCACTGATCTGACAGATGGTACCAGTCCACAGCCGGGAGGTTGGGGATCCCTGATCTAGCTGACTGCTTCTACCTTCGTCACCTCTCACTTGCCCACCTCCCAAGCTCCTCCAAGTGGTCTCAGTCTACCAAAGCCACTTTTGGAAGACTATAAACAACTCCCATGTGCGCAAATCCAGCAGTCCCTTCTCCATCCGCACCTTGCCCTGACCTCTCAGTGGCGTTTGAGCTGGATGAATACTTCTCAAAACTCTCCTTCTTCCCTTGGTTTCCCTAATACCACCCACTCCTTGTTTTCCTCCTACCTCAGCAGTCTGTTCCCCTCAGTCTCCTTTGCTGGCTCCTTCTCTTTGGTGAGGCCCTTAAATGTGTCCTGGGCTCCATCCCAGACTCACTTATTTTCCCTGACTATACACTCTTCCCTTAGGGAGTCTCATTTATTCCTATGACTCTACGTTCAATCTGGATACTGAAGACTCCCAAATTTATGTCTCCATCTCTGAAATCTCTCAGCTGTAAACTCATATCTAGCTTTTATTTGACATCTTCATGTGGGTGTTTAGTTTGCATAGCTAATAGGCATCTCAAAGTGCACACACCTGAAACAGATTCTTGATTGCCTTGCATCACAAACCCACCCCTTTCCCAGGATTCCTCACTTAAGATTGCATTATTCACCAGTTACTAAGAAGCCAGAAACCTAAAACTCATTTTTTTTTTTTGGTATTACAAATTGTAAGCACTTTTATTAAGGTATAGTTGACATGAAGTATTTAAAGTGTGTAATTTGATAAATTTTGACATATGTCTACACACCATGTGAAACCATAAAACAGTCAAGATAATGAACACATTCATCATCCCCGAAAGTTTCCTCCTGCCATCTTGAAATTTCTCACTTTGCTTCTCCACTCTAACCAGAGGCAGCCACTGATCTCACAATATATTAGTTTGCATTTTATAGAATTTTCTGTAAATGGAATCATACAGTGCATTTTTTTGGTCAGGCTTCCCTCACTCCAGATATTTTAGATTCATCCATGTCATGCTGGTATCAATGGTTCATTCCTTTTTACTACTGGGAATGATTATATTGTATAGTTATACCACAATTTGTTTATCCATTCACCTGTTGATAGATATTTGAGTTCTTTCCAGATTAAGGCTTTTACAAGCAAAGCTGCTGTGAACATGTGCTTTCATTTCTCTTGGGTAAATAAATGACTAGGAGTGGAATCACTGGTTTATATGATAGGTGTATGTTTAACTTAAAAAAAAAAACAGCCAAACTGTTTCCAAGGTGGTTATGCCATTTTAGATTTCCACTCCAGCTACCCAACACTCCGACACTTGGTAAGGTCAGTTTTCTTAATTTGAGCCATTAAAGTGTGTCCTGATATCTCTTCATGGTTTTAATTTGCATTTTCTCTAATGATCAGTAATGCTAAGCTTCTTTCCATGTGTTTATTTGCCATTTGTCCTCCTTGGTGAAGTGTCTGTTCAAATCTTTTGTTCATTTTAAAAATTAGGGTTTTTGGCTTTTTACTGAGTATCTTTGTATATTCTGGGAAATAAACAAATTTTTCTGTTGTAAATATTTTCTTCCACTCTATGACTTATCTTTTCCTTCTCTGAATAGTTTCTTTTGAAGACAAGAAATTCTTAATTTTGACAAAGTCTAATTTATCAATCTTTATGTTTTATAGATTATGCTTTTGATGTCATATCTAAAATCTCTACCTAACCAAAGATCACTTCTATGATTTCTCCAAAATTATTTATAGTTTTAAGTTTGACATTTGGGTTTGTGATCCATTTGATTTATGCTTTTTTAAAAAAATAGAATGCAAGGTATGAAGTTCTTTTTTTTTTTTTAAACACATGGCTATCAAATTATTTCAGTACCATTCCTTGTAAAGACCATCCTTTTCCCAGTGGATTTTATTTGTATCTTAGTTGAAATCAATTGACTATGAATGTGTAGGTACTCTTATGAACTTGCTGTAATTTCATTGATCTATTTGTCATGGGAAACATTAGATACAAATAAGTGACAGACATCCCAATCTTTCAGCCACAACCATCTTGCTGAGAGCAACTGAAACAACTTGGAGTAATCCTTTACTCCTGGACCACAAAGAATTAAAATACATTACCCTATAGTTTCATTTGAAGTAGTTTGATCTATATGCTATGTCACGGAAGAAGGGATAAAATTAACACTAAAATTTGATCATTGTATTCCGCTGTGTGTTTAACAGTTTTAAAACTATCCTCTTGCAGTGAGACTTTGAGTCAGACTATTTTAGAAAACCTGTGTAGACTTTTCTGTCTTTGGCCTAATTCCAAATTTGAAAATAAGCACCAGGTCAAATTGCATCCCTCTTTCTCCACCCTGTCGTCAGTCCTGAATGAAGTGCCTGGACTTCAGTATTGAGGGATGAACTGTAAAGCGCTGATGGACTATCCCATGAGGGATTTGAATTGAAGACAAGACCTACAAGTGACCTTTCTTGGCCAGCTCATTAGTGCTTCTAAGTAGTATTTAACTCTTATGGCAAACCTGTGAGTGAACTAATGAAAGTATTTTTGACTGTGCAGAGGCAGGAATAGAAGTTCTTTCTCAGCTGTCTCAACTGACTGGCACGTTATTTACTGCTCCCACTGGGATTGCCACTGGCTCTTACCAACATGGTAAGTGTGTATGGGTGCTGACCACCGTGTCCAATGATACCCACCAACTCCAGGATCACCAAGGACAAAACACAGCTCGTAATACTGGTTCTGGCAATGTCAATTACTGCCTTTCCTTCCTACTCTGAAGGAGTGCTGTCACTCCCCAAACTAGTTCATTTCTCATCACTCAATCATTTACTTAGAAAGGAATTATTATTACAAATATCTGCTTCAAACCATCATTTGCAAAAACTGTTGAAAATATAGCTTTAACAGTTAAACAAAGATGTAGCTGATCTAAAGAAATGATAAGTACAGAGAACAATTTTCTTCGTAAAACATTATCAATGTGCTTTCATTTGGAAAAATGAATTGGAGCTATAAGAAGCTAGTGAAGGGGCTGGCTCATGTTTCACTGCAGTAGCCTTAAGGGAGAGGAAGAACAAAGAGAAATTACACTTGAAAGCAAAATTTCATTTAGATACTAAAGCTGCAATTATTGGATCAAAATGTAACACTGGCTGACTAACAAGAGTCAAATTGCTTTGCTATAATAATGTTAATTATTTTCCCCTTTAAAACTCCCTCACTTCCTATCAAACAGGGATGGGAGTGATGTAAAACTATATAAAGCATTACTTCTCTAATCCTGGATGCTAAGTGCCTTTCAAGACAGGAAAGCTGGCATCATTGGGAGACTTGTAAGGGAGAAGATTCATGATGATACAACAAAAAGCTCGCTGACCTAATACAGTTTTGTAGCAGAAGTTGCTTGTTACTTTTAGTTTACATAGCAGCAGCACCCAATGAGAGCATATTTGGCCCCATGAAGGGAGGAAATCAGCCTCGCAGAGATAGCAGGGTGTAAATAGCAGTGTAGTGCAGATAGCAGTGCAGTTATAAAATGGATTTTCGTCTTTTTCTCCTCCTCTCTCTTCTTCCTCCTTTTCCCACTCTTCTTCTCATTCTAGAAGAACTTGTTACAAATAGTTTCACGTTTATCAGCAAAAAATGTGGAGAGAAGAATGAAACTATTTAGGACAGAAAATCAAATTTCCCTTGGCCCGGTGTAATTCAGTCACTGATTTTCAAGGAAAGAAACTTTCTTAAGCACCCATTTCAGTACATGTAGAGATATCTGTAGAGAAAGAGCAGCTGGACATGATGTAAATAAGATGCAGGGCTGGCTCCAATGGAGATGACTTTCAGATGACATGATGGGGAAACCAGGAAAAGTGCGGTTTTCCTGTATTTGTACTTTTTAAGATGTGAACATAAAATAGTGTATTCTTATTTGCAAGTCTATTCTGCTTTTGATGCAAAAATCCAGCAGCTATTTAATTTTACTTCAAATACAGTGTAACATGTCACACTTATCTATCAAAGAGTAGATAGACATTTGAAATTATTCATTTTGTCCTTTTTGAGTTTCAAATTTTATCTTTGAAAGCAGACTATGGGTGTTTATCTTAGTTTTCTAATGAGAAAGGGTAATAAGCCTGATATAAATTCAATTAAGGGTTTTTTTCCCCATACTGTAAACAAGAACTCTTTCATTTGAGCTTAAGTCTGTGATACTAAATGGGGAAAATAATGTCAGTTCTTAGTGACTGGCTGGGACGACAGTGGGAAACGGCACCCCCTTCCATCTACTTCAGTGAACCAAAGCTGCAGACATGGTCCAGCTTCACCGACTTCCTGGAAGACACCTTGAAATCGGTAAGGAAACAATTAAGTCCTCTCTTCAAGGAGTTGCAGAAGAACATCAGTGGCAGGATGATAGGTAAGAACTGTTGCTACTTCTGTTGCTGGTTAATTATGAAGCTTGTCACATATCCAGAGTGAATACAAATGTAGGAATGCAGAAGTAAAAAACTGTTTATTGTCTTTGTTTTTCATAGCTTCTTTCAGATATCATGAATATCCAGTAAGAACAAATATATTCATCTTTAAAATACTGAAGCTAGTTCCTGGTTTCAAATGTTACCATCTTATTCTGTTAGTCAATTGTTTACCTTGGCAAAATTCACTTTGCTAAGCCAGAGAGCTCTGTCCTTTTCCCTCTACAATTTGCTCTCAAAGTTAAGCACCAACATCCCAATTAAGCATCTCTTAGACCACAGCACCCATTACTTAAACTGTTCTATAATTGAATTCTATGTATTTTCTTTCTAAAATATTTAACTTGGTGATGGGCTTCATGGGGAGGCCTATTGGACATTATTTGTTTTCACATTTATACTTGTTACTCATGATCCAATTATCACAATAAACACTTTTGGAAACAATGTCCTGTTTCAACTTTAGATCTTCATCTAAACCTGTCAGTTCTTCAAAATCAAGTACTTTTAAAAAAATGTATTTAAGTAGGTTTTTCCTGCATCTTTAACTGCCAACTCATTTTCCTTCCTAACTCTTCACACTGAAGCACTGTACCAGTCAAATCATTATACATCTGTCTTACTTCTCTCTTCCCTTCCTCTGCCTTGCTCTGTCTACACAAGAGCTGCAATATACAAATATGCATGCAGGTATTTTATCTGTCAACGTATGCCCATATCTCTTTGCATGAAGCAAGGATTTGTCTTTTTGGTTTTAACTCTACCACATTTAGTAGGTGTTCAGCTAATATTTAAAAATTGTTATGAGGCTAAAAACAAGGAGAAATTATTTCTCCTGGTTCTTTCACAGGTATTAACGACTAGAGAGATAAATGAAAAGATTAACAGTAGAAGTGTTTTCTGATCATGTATGTCATAAGGCATGAAAATCAAATGGAAAAAGGTTGCTTTTCAAATCAATGCAAATTGCTCAAAATATTTTTAAAATATGTATGTATGTATGTATGTTATTCTCTATGGACTTAAAATATTTATGGAATTGAGCACAAAGATAATGCAGAATATGGAAGAGCTTTTGGTAGAATTGAGAATCTAAACTTTATAAGGTTTATTTTTACATGTTCTTTACCTGTCCAATTTATATATTTCATTCAATATCAACTTTGTCAGGGTGGGTACTTTTTATATGCTACATATTTAGATGCTTTTGCTCATTTTCTATTTTACCTTGATAGATAATCTTCATGGCATAATAGAATTTTTATTCTTAGTCTGCATTTTAATACACTAACAAGCAACTGTAAGGACTGGGTTTTCTTCTTGATCACATCTCTTAAATTAATTACAAAGCATATGGACTTATATTTACAGGGCAATTTGTATTTGACACCATGAGTGTGGCTAACATTCTGAATAACCAAGAAATCGTACAAGCTCTGGCAGATGGATTGATAGAGCTTTCAAAAGAAAATTCTGTAAGTGTTCCTTTGAATAAAATAAGCTACAAAACCCCCAAAACTTAAATTTTAGTGTGAATTTACCACTTTATCCTTTAGGACACAATTCCTCAGAGAAATAGCATCAATTTATGAAAACAGCCACTGAAAGAGTCTGAACCCAAGATGTATTATTATACCAAAATAGACATATAGGAAAATCTTCTCAGTTATTTGCTATTAATCATATGGTACACTGATCTAGCTTGTGATTAATTTCGGTCAGAAGTGACTCCTTTAAAAAAAAAACATGTTTAGTGGCTTATATTTCACATAAACATTACTCAACAGTTAAAACAATTAATAGTATGACAGAAAAACTGAGAAAGTGTGAAACCAGCTAGAACAGATGAAAGGCAAGGAAGGCTGGATGAGAGAGGAAAGAAAAGAGAAAACAACAGAACAGAAACAAGCAAGGCAGTAATTTGGTTGGGGATAAGCTTGGGGAAAGCCTGAAAAAAATCAGAAGCAAATCTTGAATGCTCTTCCAGAAAAGTCAGTCCACATACCAGGACACAGTGAGGGGAGGCAGTGTAAAAACATACTCTGCCCTAATATCATAGAAAGGCTCTAGGAAAATAAAATACAGTCAACTCTATATATCCTTGGGTTCTGCAACCATGGGTTCTGCACCCTCAGATTCACCCAAACACATGTTGAAAATATTCATTAAAAAAAATTTCAGGGACTCACCTAGTGGCTAAGACTCCTTGCTGTCAATTCAGGGGACCTAACTTCATTCCCTGGTCATGAAACTAGAACCCACATGCTATAACTAAGACCTGATATAACCAATTAAATACATATTTTTTTTTAATTCCAAAAGTTTCAAAAGGTGAAACTTGAATTTAGCCATGCATTGGCAACTATTTACATAGTGTTTATACTGTACTAGGTACTATAAGTAATTGAGAGATGATTTAAAGTATATGGGAGGAACTTCCCTAGTGGTCCAGTGGCTAAGACTCTGCACACCCAATGCAGCGGGCCTGGGTTCAACCCCTTGTCAAGAAACTAAATCCTGAGAGCTGCAACTAAAGACTGAAAATCCCATGTGTGGCAAATAAGACCCGGTACAGCCAAATGAATAAATATGTAAAGTATATGGGGGTGTTTCCCAGGTAGTGCAGTTGTAAAGAATCAGCCTGCCAGTGCAGGAGATGCAAGAGACTTGGGTTTGATTCCTAGGTCAGGAAGATCCCCCAAAATAGGAAACAGCAACAAGCTCCTGTATTCTTTTTTTTTTTTCATTTATTTTTATTAGTTGGAGGCTAATTACTTTACAATATTGTAGTGGTTTTTGTCATACATTGACATGAATCAGCCATGGATTTACAAGTATTCCCCATCCCAATCCCCCCTCCCACCTCCCTCTCCACCCGATCCCTCTGGGTCTTCCCAGTGCACCAGGCCTGAGTACTTGTCTCATGCATCCAGCCTGGGCTGCTGATCTGTTTCACCCTAGATAATATACATGTTTTGATGCTGTTCTCTCGAAACATCCCACCCTCGCCTTCTCCCACAGAGTCCAAAAGTCTGTTCTGTACATCTGAGTCTCTTTTTCTGTTTTGCATATGGCGTTATCGTTACCATCTTTCTAAATTCCATATATATGCGTTAGTATACTGTATTGGTCTTTATCTTTCTGGCTTACTTCACTCTGTATAATGGGCTCCAGTTTCATCCATCTCATTAGAACTGATTCAAATGAATTCTTTTTAATGGCTGAGTAATATTCCATGGTGTATATGTACCACAGCTTCCTCATCCATTCGTCTGCTGATGGGCATCTAGGTTGCTTCCATGTCCTGACTATTATAAACAGTGCTGCGATGAACACTGGGGTGCATGTGTCTCTTTCAGATCTGGTTTCCTCAGTGTGTATGCCCAGAAGTGGGATTGCTGGGTCGTATGGCAGTTCTATTTCCAGTTTTTAAAGAAATCTACACACTGTTCTCCATAGCAGCTGTACTAGTTTGCATTCCCACCAACAGTGTAAGAGGGTTCCCTTTTCTCCACACCCTCTCCAGCATTTGTTGCTTGTAGACTTTTGGATAGCAGCCATCCTGACTGGTGTGAAATTGTACCTCATTGTGGTTTTGATTTGCATTTCTCTGATAATGAGTGATGTTGAAGCTCCTGTATTCTTGCCTAGAAAATTCCATGGACGGAGGAGCCTGGTGGGCTATAGTCATGGTGTCACAAAGTGACAGTGAAAGTTGCCCAGTTGTGTGCGACTCTTTTCGATCCCACAGACTATAGCCCACCAGGCTACCCTGTCCATGGAATTTTCCAGGCAAGAGTACTAGAGTGGGTTGCCATTTCCTGCTCCAGGGGATCTTCCTGACCCAGGATAGAACCTGGGTCTCCCACATTACAGGCAGACGCTTTAACCTCTGAGCACACAAACCAGAGTATCTGGGAGAGTGTCCTAGGTTGTATGTAAGTACTACACCATTTTACATAAGGGACTTGAGTATCTGAGAATTTTGGTATCTGCAGAGGTCCCGAAGCAAATCCCCGTGCATAAGGAAGCATAATTGTTGCAGGCCTCAGTTCAGGGGAAGCTGAGAACAGGACAGGAATGGGGTATTATTAACATACCTGATGCTGTATAAGGCTTGTAGTTTTCCAGGAAACAGTTCTCAAATCCTTCCTTCCCACTGTAATAATTATACTTTGTGGGGGATTTAACATTGGCTTTGGACACTTTCTCCTTATCCATCATGGTTTCAACTTGGCTTCCTGGGTAAGCACCAGACATCTCCTGGGCTCATGGCCCAGTGTGGAGCCTGAGGAGTTGCAGGTAGCCTTCTCTGAAGACTCAACTTTCCAGTGCACTAGCCAACCCTCTCACAGCCCAGCAATAAAGGCCCTGGAGAATTCTGCTGATAATACGATCAGGAATGTTCACAGGGATAATCCTGAGGCCCTGAAATTCTCTGCACTGTTCTCAAACACCAAAGAATTATTCAATGTTTGATGTTGGTTCATGGCATTTATGCCACCAAATTATTTAAAAATAACCTTGTATCATATAATTTTCATGGTGTTCAAACCTACAGCCTGAGAGGGAACCAGATTTGGGAGTCTCACCAGGGTGTTTTCCCAAATAACTCTGCTGCTTGGAGGCTCTCTTCTTTCCGCTGTAACACACCAAAGTTGTCCTGTCTCCTTTCCTCCTCTGGCTAAGAGGCCAGTGTGGGCCACTTTGGTTCTGAAGACCTTGAGACCCTCCCACACGACCTTGGCATCCTCACTGAACTGTAACAATAAGCTGAGAACCAAGATTAACCAGAAAGGCTCATTTACTACCTCAAACAGTTACTTTGTTTTCTAGACTTGTAAATTAATTAGGCAGAAAGCTGAAAATGCTACTAGAAAATGTGTTCTCATATCTGCTGCACTCTTGTTGACCTGCATTTGAAATAAAAATTGTTCTGGGGGGGTTTGGTAATCTTTCAGGACAACCCTCTGGAATTTTTGTCATATTTTCTGCTGAAGAAATGTAGTAAAAAGAGCAAGCATTTTGAAAGAAATGTCATTCTGACAAAAAGTGACCCAAAAGCAACACACAATTTACTCACAAAGGTAAAATTACTGTGGTATTTTTATGCTGTTGCTTCACTGTACAGTTCAAGAAATGTGCTTAAGAAATTCATAATCAGTAATGATAATTCTAACCTGGAAAGCTTTCAATTTGTCATTTCTTGTAAGAACTTCATTTTCATGGATTTTTATTTTTAAAAGGGTGTTTTGTAGTTTCATAATGTTAGTAACACTTAATCTACTTGATTAGTGGATTACATGGCATCATGCTGATGAGAGTAACACTAGTTGACTCTTGGGGGAAGAATTGAATACGCGTATTCTGTCCAACATAACCTAAAGAGATTTTTTTTTTTTTCATTTGCATCCCAGGACACTTTTTTGCTGAAACTAAAAATGTTTCTTGTTTTTCTTTTTTCTTTTAGTTGAGATTCAAATTCATAAAAGAAAAAAAAGTGGGTTTGAAGCTAGTTCTTTAGTCGAGCAAAAATAATTTTGCCAGTACTATATTCAGAATACGTACATTCTTTGTTAAGTGAAGTAATATGGATTCAGGAAATACTGAAAATTGCATTGTCATTCAGAGAACTGATTTCTATGAAAATGCCATTTCATGCCCATTGGAAAAGCACCTATCTTTGATGATTGAAGGCTGGGAATGCCACCCCTAACACAAAGTCACCGTGGAGACTGTTAGGAGAAATAGACTTGTAAGTTCCCCTAGTAGCAAATGGTGTGTTGCCCTATTAACCTGATATTCTGGAAGACTTTGTTGCCCTAGCTTTCAGGACAGCACAGTGCAGGGGAAAGCAAACAGTGCCCCGCTGGGGCCGCATCCTCTCCGCCAAGCTGCCCTAGACTCACTCAGCAGAATGAAAAGCCTGCAGTTATGAAGCCCCTGCCCTCTGGCTTTAGTAGACCATGCCTCTTAGCAGAACCCCCACCCCCTGAAGCAGCTTATTCTCTCCAACCACAAGCATCCTCTCCAGCAGGAGTCTTGATAAACACATTCCCAGGGACATCAAAGCCTTTAGATGTTAGAACCCTGCTTCCTTGTAGCCTGACCCCTAAATCTATCTCTTAGGAAACTCACAGACCATGTACTCATCAGGGTTCTCCAGAGAATCAGAACCAATAGACCTGCTCTTGTTACATCACCTTCCTGTAATAAAACTACAGAAATCTTAAACTCCTTAATGCCTGGGAATATCTTTGATATTTTCCATTTTTAAATAAAATTAAAAAAAATAGGTGTTATATTCTTATTTTGGTTTCTGTTATTTAACACTTGGGAGCCTGTGCACAATGCCCATGAAACAAAGTTGGTGGCCCTAGGAAGGAAAACCACAGATTAAATATAGAGGCTGAATTTGGATAAAATGGAGGTGAGTTTCTCCACACCTTGGAGTTTATTTTTAAAAGTGTAGATATTCATCCAGAAGAGCACACAAACTCTCAGCCATGGGCGTGGAAAGTAATGCCTTCTTCTGAGACAACTGTTTTATAGATTCTTCCACAAGGGTTTGTATAAGAGGATTAGTCTGCCAAATCCAGGACCAAATACACATACATATATACATATACATAGGTAGACAGCTCACTCTATAAATCTATCTATCTATCATCTTGCTGCCCAGTCAGTAGTACAGTAGTAACTCCTGGCCTTGATATGCCTGCAGTGTTTACACTGATGCTATAGAACCATGGTGATAGGTCACAGCCAGAATCATAGTTGTTCTTCAGGACTATCATTTTTACAACTACTGCATGCATGCTCAGCTGCTCAGTCGTGTCCAACTCTGTGACCCCATGGAGTAGCCTGCCAGGCTCCTCTGTCCATAGGATTTCTCAGGCAAGAATCCTGGAGTGGGTTGCCATTTTCTTCTCCAGGGGATCTTCCGGACGCAGGGATCAGACTATATCTCCTATGGTTCCTGCATTGGCGGGTGGATTTTTCTTTCTTTCTTTCTTTTTTTTTTTTTACTACTGAGCCACTGGGGAAGCCTCACAACTCTTTCTGGACCCTAATTCAGGTAGTCAATTGTTTTCTGGGAGAAGCACCGGCAATAAGTAGGATGTTAGCAATAACTAAGATCCTAGAGGAAAATTCCAAATATGTGATCCAAAGTCTCCCTTACAGGCCGTGGAGAGAATCAAGGCAAAGGCCCATCAACTCAAAATAATTGTTTCCTTAAAAATGTGTGAAGTTTGCTGCTCCGTTACTTCCTTCAAGTTCATGTTTCAAAATGAATAGCAAATGGCATCTTAACCTAAGAACAGGCTCTAAAAATCCTAATAATTCGATAATATAAAATGAGAGAACATGTTGTTTTTAGTTTCAAACAAAATTACTATGTCAAATTGACTTGCTATCCACAAAGAAAAATTTACATTTAAGAAACAGCTGTAGCTGGGAATTCCCTGGTAGTTCAGTGGTTTAAAAATTCTTAAAAAGCTGTTGCTGAGCCAGAGATGAAACAAAGCCCAGTCTGAGTAAGCAGGTTCTAAGATAGCCAGGGTAGTCTAGGCGTCCACTGCTGAGCTTCAGTGACTGAGCACTCATGGGAGCCTGTCCAAAGGGGTGATACCCCAGATAAGGGGGCCTCTGTCATCTGTAGAATCCACAGTCCAAATCTGTACGGCTTGGGTTCTCTTAACCTCCAGTCAAGCAGGCTGAGCTTCATTTTCATTTTATGCCTGCAACCACATCTACCTACACAACTGCAGTGTCACTGCTGACTGGTTGAAGTTATCATTTCTCTACATGAATGATCAGCATTATTACATATTTTGAAAGAAGACAATGTTCCACGCATGGAAATTTTGAATTATTTTGTCAAAATTCAAAGTAGATTCCCCCCCACCCAGCATAAATATAAATACTGGAGTAGGAAATGACAACCCACTGTAGTATGCTTGTCTGGAAAATTCCATGGAAAGAGGAGCCTGGCAGGCTATAAAGTTCACGGGGTCACAAAGAGTTGGACCTGACTGAGCACACACCCACGCAAGTATAAATACATGCCAGACTGGTGTGGGTCAGCCCCAAATGGGGAAGAGAAAGGACATGGTGAAAAGACTATGTGGAGCAGCCATGAAGTGCTCAGACTCAGGTGTGGGGCCTGCAGGCCCAGGAGAAACTGGCTGGCTACATGTGCTTCTGGGCCCAGGGGTCTTACACAAAGGCTTCAGGCAGCCATGAGGGATGTCTGGAGGTACAAAATAAAAGTGTGTCTTTGTCTGAGTAGAGTAAGGCAAAAGGAGTCTTGGTTATAAATTGGTGTTTTTCTTCTAGTTTCACTCCTACATATCAAGGTTGCCATGGATAGTTTTAGCTTTGACTCGGAAGGGCAGCAGTAGTGACCATTAATCATCATTAGCTTTCAACACAAACGTGGGACCATTGTTCCATTTCTCTGGTGGACCCTGGGACGCTACAGGCAGAAGGGGGGTTATTTTTTAATGTGATAATTTATATGGAAGCCACAAGAAAAATTAACAAGGCAAAGTGAGGAAAGAATAAGCCATATTTAAATGTGGAAACGGATCTAGAAATGCCATGTGAATTTCTTTATGACACTTTTTCATTAGGTGAAAAAAGAGGTGAATTTTACAAAGTACTGTGAACATTTCTTCTAGCATCTTGAAAGTAAGGTAACTTATGTGCTCACTGCTGCCAGAACTGAGGCAGAGACCTATTTCCCAGGCACGTGTGAAGAGCTGCTCCCAGGGAAAATGGCAACTGCACTGAATTGAGTTTCTTAACACAGTTCCTAGGAAGCAAAAAGTTATTTTTTTATATAAACATAAAATTTAATTTTGTTGAGCTCTTAACTTATGTGTCTAGAGAACACTGTGATTAGGGCCAAAGGCAGAGCTACTGAAATCCTCCTGTGGGCTTAGCACTGACTAGGCATTTAGATATTCCAGGGCTTACCTCCAAATAATCAAGTCTGCATTTAATCCTCAGGAAAGAGATGTTATAGAAGATAACCCTCAGGACACAAAACCAAGTCTCAGCAAAAATGATCCAAATTTTGAGTTGCTGGTTAAGCTGGTAAGCCAACTATTCTGGTTTGTTCTTTCTTTTTTCTTGAGAGTTTCTCTTAGGGGGAAAAACCCCAAATATAACTGGAGGAGATCCAACCAGTAGCTTTTTCTTTTGAGTAAGTCCTGATCTAAAAAGAAGCTGAGCCAAGGGGATGGACATGAAACATCTTGGCAACAACAGTCATCTCTGTGCTACTCCATGCTTTTCTAATAGGATGCTAGAAAGGCATTTAAAAAAATGGTCCATGGACACGAAGGTTCACAGTTTCTAACCGACCCATCAACTGCTGATTGAGTATAATCAAGCAGTCACAGTTTCTAACCGACTCATCATCAGCTACGGTCTGATTTCAAATGTTGAGGATAATCAATATAACCTTTAGGGCTGTCTTTCGAAGGGTAGTGGGTGGAGGATGTGTGGACCGGCAGAGGCCTGGTCCCATACTGCCGGTTAACACACAGCGCATGCGTGCCGCCTAGCATTTCTACAACACACATCCAGTTTTACTATCATGTTTCAACCTCAGAATCCTGAAAAGCAGACATTAGAACCCGCATTTTGTCGGAGAGGAAGTCGAGTCAGAAAACTTAAAATGATTTCCTTAAGGTCAAGCAACAGGCAGAGAGAAATGTTTGAATCCTGCAGAAGGGCGTTCAGCCCTGGGCTCTTTCCCAGCTACACAATAGCTGGGACCCGTCTGCCTACAGTGGATTGCCGGTAGCCGGCACACGAGATCCCACCCCTGACAAGGTCATGAGGAGAAATCCTGACAGGCAAGGCGGATCAGGTTTTCAGGGATTCTGAAAAGCTGCCCCCGGCGCTCACCTTAAAGATGATATCTGTCTTTCTGATGCTTGCTTCAATAGACTACTCCCTAATTTCTGTGACACAGGCAGAACGCCTTCCCCGATCTCTTCCCAAATAAGAATCAATTTAGAACTTTATAAGTTTCCCAGGTGGTGGTGTTTTATGAGATTATCCAGGGTGAAAGGAGTGTTTTAATTTAAACTCCTTTGCTGGTATTTTAGTTTGTTTGGCAAATGCATTTATGCCCTTGGTACTAATATGCATGACTGCTCATAATACCCTAATCATAAAACAGCATAAAGAACCTGATCATATAAAGGCCCTAATAGACATAGAGACTTTTTGAGGGGTGAAGGAGTCCTATTAGAAAACACAAGAAAAATTATTCTAAAAGTGGTTATTGGGTTGACGTTTCCTTGCTGTGTTTTGCTTGCTGTGTTTTTACTCTTAATGTGCTAAGGTTGTGCAGTGGAAACCATTGTTAATATAGTTAAAGGTCTAGAAAAATAAGAGCTTAGCCCTAGTGTGGTAACAATGAGATGGTTGTTAATTGTCACCCAGGAGTGCGAGGCAGAGCCTGCTTCACCAAAGTCGCAGAGTCAGTGTGGGGTAAACTTCTTAGATAAACTCAACTGACAGCTTCTGCAGAAGGATTAATTTTTGTGTTAACAAGGTTATACTTCTACTCTGTACTGTTGCCCTATGAGACTGCTACCTTTCAGTTAAGGTCACCATAGAAACGGAAAATAGGTTTACATTCACCTGACCTGCATAAAATGTTAATAGGCCCCAAGGCCAGAAGATAATGTACAAGACCCTCATAAACAAAGAAGTATGCAGAAAACACCCTGGTTTCATGAAGAACAAGCTGATGTAATGTTAAACTATTTTCCCCTAGAAATGTACTAACTTAGGGTATAAAAGCTACGGTAAAAAATAAAGCACTGCCAGACTCTGCCAGACCCTGCCAGACTCTGCTGCACCCCCCCGTCTGGTCACTCTCTCTTTCTCTCTCTCTCTCTCTCTCTCTCTCCCTCGCAGACTTGGCCCTATCAAGGCTGGTCTCATGTGTCTTCTCTCTCTCTCTCGCCAACACTGTTCATCCTGAGGGTACCCCCTGGATCCTGCCGAGGCTGGACCCCGGCAGTGGATGGTGCCTACAGTCCGCCTACAGTGGACAGTGTCCCTGTGCACCTCGGTGGCCACGGGCTCACTCAGCCCCACGCCATCCCCAGGAACCACCCAGGAAGAGACGGTTTACAAGGAAACAAATACGACAGTATCTCCTCTGACCATTGGTGATAATACTGCACAATGGTTTTGTTACCCAAACACAACTCCATATGCCCAACGCACAGTGAGGCCAAACATACCAAGTTATGAGTTCGGAGCAGAGAAAAGTTAATGGCAGGGCCAGGCAAGAGACAGGTGGCTCAGGCCTTAAAAACCCCAAACTCCCTGAAAGCTCTCAGCAAAGCCCTTTTCTAGGCAAGGTGAGGGGGAGTGTGGTTAGTCCTTGCAGACTTTTCCGTGTCAGAGCCTTTGTTCTTGAGGTCAAGTCATGGTCAGGTAATGTTCCTATAAATTTCTACCAAACAAACATTATCCTCTGTTCTGACAGGAAAGGGCCAGGTCCCAAGGCACACTTTCACCCTCCGAGTTCTGGTCTTGGCTGAGAGGAGGCAGATCTCAACTGGTGACTCCCTCAGGGCCAGGTCCCAGACCCTGCCCAGCCGGCATCACTGACGGAGCCAGGCACCTCAGGCTCCTCAGGCCGCCCAAATGGCAGGGACAGGTTCTGGAGACCAAGTCCCAGGCACATGGCCACTACCATTAAGTCACAGAGGTGGGATGGGGGAGAAGCTCACCACTGCCTCAAGGCCTGGGGCTCGGCCAGTGGGCCGCCTTGGCAAGAGCTCCAGAGCCCTGCAGAACAGGGCCCCTGCTGGCCCAAGGCTGGGTGAGCTAGAGAACCCAGGGGAAAAGCTGAGATCCACCTCTTACCTCACTTTCCACCAGAAGACCACCACTCGGGCTGACGGTTGGCGGAATGCTCCCACCAACGGTAGCTTATTGACAGTTGGTTGTTTGTGGGCGGGGCCACTGTGCCACCAACCAATGACTGAGCAGGAACGCTAACGGTCTCTCAGTAGCCGTTGCCTGGTAACAGGGTGGGGTGGGGGTGGGGCTAATGGTTCACAGCAATGGCCCAGCGCTAAGAGCTATGCTGGGCAGCGCTCTATTATAGTTTCAAGATAACAGCGGAAGTTTGACAACTGAAGCCTTAAATCAAAATCGTTATAAATATTTTAATGATTAATTATAATGATTATTATAAAAATGCCAGTATTTTAAAGATCACTTCATGGCAAATAGATGGGGAAACAATGGAAACAGTGACAGACTTTCTTTTAGGGGGCTCCAAAATCACTGCCCATGGTGACTGCAGCCATGAAATTTAAAGACGCTTGTTCCTTGGAAGAAACATTATGACCAACCTAGACAGCATATTAAAAAGCAGAGACATTACTTTTCTAACAAAGGTCCATCTAGTCAAAGCTATGGTTTTTCCAGTAGTCATGTATGGATGTGAGAGTTGGACTATAAAGAAAGCTGAGTGCTGAAGAATGGATGCTTTTGAAGTGTGGTATTGGAGAAGACTCTTGAGAGTCATTTGGATGGCAACATAAAGGATATCAGCCCTGAATATTCATTGGAAGGACTGATGCCGAAGCTGAAACTCCAATACTTTGGCCACCTGATGTGAAGAACTGACTCATTGGAAAAGGCCCTGATGTTGGGAAAGATTGAAGATGGGAGGAGAAGGGGACGACAGAGGATGAGATGGTTGGATGGCATCACCGACTTAATGGACCTGAGTTTGAGTAAGCTCCAGGAGTTGGTGATAGACAGGGAGGTCTGGCGTGCTGCAGTCCTTGGGGTCCCAAAGAGTCAGACACGACTGAGCGACTAAACTGAACTGATATAATATGGACTGTAAGCCAGCTGCCAATGGATATGGATGTAATTTTAAACTCATTGTGCCTGCTCAGTTGCCCAGTCTTGTCTGACTCTTTGTGACCCTATGGACTGTAGCCCACCAGGCTCCTCTGTCCATGGGGTTCTCCAGGCAAGAATCCCGGAGTGGGTTGCCATTTCCTCCTCCAGGGAATCTTCCTGACCCAGGGATCAAACCTGTGTCTCCAATATCTCCTGCATTGCTGTGGATTCTTTATTGCTGAGCCACCAGGGAATTTAAACTGTCTAAATGGGCTTTATATACAATAGGCATGTGTTTGAAAGATTAAAACTAACCAAGAACAGTGTTTATAGTATTTCAAACAGAATGAATGTTCTGATTCTTCTCTCAAATTATTTTCACATTTTAATTTTAGCTCACGAAATTATGGTTGACATTTCAGGTGCAGATCACATGGCATTAAACATTAGTATTGTCATATTTTATTTGGGGCAGTGTGGGGCAGGGCTGGAGGGGAAAGAGGAAATTGTGTTTTAAGAGTTTTAATTGTTCTAGGTGCAAATACAAGGCCATTAGATTTTTAAAATTTGAATATTGTGATTGTTTTCTAGATTGTAAAAATACTAATTTTACAACTTCAAAAGTATAAATAGAAGGGAAAGAATCCTAATTCCAGTAAGGAAAATTAATTTCTCCAATCATAAACATTGCACTCAATATCAGGGTGTGGGATTTCTTTATATCAGTGCATGGCTTTTCCCTCGGCATTGCTAAAACACGACTTTGATATATAGAAAGCATAGAACATAGGGAAACCTAACTACCCAGGAGAGACAGTACTTTTTCCTAAACACAGAAAGAAGAGCATGATTTTGGTATTTCATAACACACAGCAGGAAATAACTATTGAAATATTTGATAATGAGAGGTCTAGCTCATTTCAGTCTTGTTTACACGATAATCAATAAAACACTACTGGGAAAAAAAAAGAGGAAAACAATGCACAACCCAAAGGCTTTCTCACCATCATCTCTGTAAGGGCAGAATTCTGCCTTCGCATCATTGTAGCGCCAACACCTAGCACATGACACTAGATATCTATCTGGATGGATAGATGGATAAAAGTAAATTCTCAATCTGCACCTTCTCAAGATTCAAGAGTCCAAGGCCCATCTCTACTATGGCATCAGGCTGGCCAGTGTGAGGGACAATTTGATGATGGGGACAAGCAGTGGTCAGCAGAGTCCTCCACATTCCCTTATCAAGTTTACCTTCAGCCCTGCCTATCACGAACCAGAAAGACACCCTCAGAGTGACTGCCTGACTGCTCAATACTTTCATTTCTCTGTCTCCTTTGACCATCAGGCTTTTTGATGATGGAAGCCTGAAATGAGTCATTACACTTTCCTTCTGAGTTCTTAATGCTTTTCCACAGGAGAGAAAACTCCAGCTGGATTCAGCCGAAAAGCGAACGAGAGTCGTCAGGGAACTCTTCAAGAGCGAGAGAAAATATGTGCAGATGCTGGAAATTGTGAGAGATGTTTACGTGAGGCCACTGAGAGCGGCACTGTCATCAAACAGAGCCATTCTGAGTGCTACAAACATCCAGATCATGTTCTCTGATATTCTGCAAATCTTACGTCTCAACAGGTAAACTCTGAATAGCTATATTTTGAAATATGCATTGTAGTATGGGAGGAGCACACACTTGTTTCAAAAAGTTATACAGAGGCTCAGTCATTCTCTGCCCTTCCTGGGGACACTGCCTGATCCTCTCACAGAGGAGAGACGACTCTCGACAGGGGGCTACAAACAGCAGTGATGACTCCTGGGGTGTATCCCTGCCTGGATTCAGAGCCACAGTACAAGGGGTGGAGTTCAGTGCCTGGGGATTCTATATTCATCATGCTATTTATGCCGAAGACAATGGGAAGGGGAGCTGTTCATAGTCATCAGCGTTTGGCTGATCAGTGGGAGACAGGAGGCTGTAATGGGATTAAGTCACTAGAATACTTTGCTTAGAGAACCAGAGGCTGGGGATTTGTGTAATAACAGTATATGTATATGGAAGGGTTGAGAGAGAAAATTGATCATTTGCACTGAATAAAGTAAGACAAACTGAACTTGTGTTTCTCTGCCAGTAACTCTTTAGATAACTTAGAACAAGTTCCTTAGCTTCGGGGACCCCAGATTCTATAAAAGGAACTGGTGTGCTTCCAGTTTTGAAATTCTGTGATGGCTGAAGAATAACCTTTGATCCAAGGGAAATGGGCTTAGTGGCGGTGATGGCATTTTCAGCCACTGAAGTGAGTGGACGGGGGTAAGAAACTGTCCCCAGACAAAGGGCAGAGGGAACACAGGGCAGCCTCTCCAGGCCAGCCTGGGATCCCGACTCAGCCCCCAAGTCAACCTGCTTCCTCCCTTTCCGGCGCTGTGTCAAGGCGAAAGGATCTGACAAAAGCCCCGCCCTAAATGACTGAGAACAAATTTATTTTTTATAAGTTATAGGCTATCACTGGTCAATATTTCACAGCCACGCTTTTCTCATGTTGCAGGCGGTTTCTAGATGACCTGAGAGACAGACTACAGGAATGGGGCCCTGCTCACTGTGTGGGAGAAATATTCATAAAGTTTGGAAGCCAGTTGAACACGTATACCAATTTCTTCAACAATTATCCTATGGTTCTAAAAACTATTGAGAAGGTAACAGATTGAGGGACCATCCACGCATTTAATTAGATCTTCTGAACTTGCGAGGACTAGAAGGACTAGAATTAGTAGGAAAGACTTCTTTTCTATCCTTGGCTTCCAGATCTCCTCCTCTGGTTTACTTTGAGCTCTTTGAGGATGAGGTCACTGACTTAGTTTTGATCCCTAGGGGCTGGCACAGTGCTTGACCCAGCAGTGCCTAGGAACTGGCTGTGGGACTGAACTAGCCCTCATGCAGATTTCCGGACTCCCACCTGCCCCCGTTACCCTAGGGCTTGGTTATAGGAACATAGTTCACAGTTAGGCAGAAGCAAAACTGTGAATCCCGCTTTCACATTGCCTCTACAACCCGTGGGGTGAGTCCAGCTCTCTCATGGAGAAAAGGAATTCGTAATCATGTGTTGGAATAATGACACTCAATGTGTGAAATCTCATGATAAAATAAGGAATTCCTTTGTCTCGTATTCCTGACCAAGTGCCTTTTAAACAGTTGTCTTCGTTATGGCAATGTGTATGTAGTCTGAGCAGGACTATGCAGCTCTCATCTGTGCCCCTTGCTGCTCTCATTGGGATCTCCTCTGATGGCAATAAGATACCTCCTTTCCCTCCTCGGTTTGCATCAAAAGGGCAGCAGGACGGGCACCTTGGGACGTGGTGGTACCCTCTGCCCTGTCCCTGTCTGCTGTGGCCCTGCCCACCTGTCTGCCCTGAGGCCCTGAAGTGAAGGCCTGGGGCTGGGAGGTCTCTGAACACTTCCTGACCTCAGACATCTCCCTTTGTCGTCTTCTTCCTGCTCCACCCCGGGGAGTTTAAGCTCTGCTGCGCAACTCGATTATGTGAAAGTTGCATGAATAAAGCAGTATCATAGAACTGACCTTTAGGACAAGAATTGGAGCAAAGCACATCACATGTTATCATAGCAGATTGGTGCCAGCAATTTTAATTTTATAGTTATGGATAATAATGTGTCTGTTTCACTAGCATGGGGGGTGCATATAAGTAAGTACTCAGTAAATGTTAGCTATTAATATTATTGAAATCAGTGACTATTTGATTTCTAGAAATTAGAATTACTGGCATCTGAGAAAAATGAGGTGACTTCCTGGGGGCTGTAATGGTGAGATTTTTAAGTACAAAGGAGCACCTTCTTAATGTTATTGTGGAAAACATGTTTAACAGCAGAACCACACACCAATCCCTACACTTAACACTTATTGTGTGGCAGGCACTCTACAGATAGGATTTCCGCCCCCTCCCCAGCCCCTCACCAAAAGAGTTAGCTGTGACATCCATAAGAAGACTGAGGCTCAGAGGAGTTAAGTAAGCTTGACAAAGTCACATAGAATTAGATAAAATTAAATTAGAATTCTAATCCAGGCCTACCTGCATGCAAAGTTCATTTTTATTTTTCTATACTGATTAAGCTCAATGACTAGGGTTAATTTATGGTAATAATTAATACATTATACTTAGGATATCAGGAAGCACCTATAGTATTAATAGTACTGTGATTTGGTGTAGATGTTGCCCTTTTGCTTTAAGCGCTTCATAGATTATGCTTGTCTGGTGGGACAGAAACAACACTTCACAACTGTCTCACAGAATTTTGACAATATAACTCTCACCTAAGTGCAGAGAAATGATACCAGCATTCCGAGCTTTCCTGAAGAGGCACGATAAGACCATTGTTACCAAAATGCTGAGGTAAGCTCTGAGGGAGAGCACAGCTAGGGCACGCCAAGGCCTGGAGTTCTGTGGCCTCAGAAAGAGACCAGAGCTCCCTTCTCTCTGCGCCTCCTACAGTCTTCCGGAGCTGCTTTTGTACCCATCCCGAAGGTTTGAAGAATATCTTCATCTTCTCTATGCTCTGAGGCTTCACACTCCTGCAGAACATATTGACCGTGGAAACTTGACCATTGCAATTGACCAAATCAAAAATTACAAAGGCTACATAGATCAGGTTGGTTGCTGCTAAGAGTCTGTGTCCTTTAAAAATGTTATAATGCTTTTGTGGTACTCTGACTCAAAGGTTCCGAAATCCCTTAGCTTCTTGGGGTTCTTTTAAAACTTTTTCATCCTTTTAATGCTAAATCATTGTATTCAGTGATATTGAGCACTGAGGGCCTTTATTCTAAACCAAATGTTTTCAGATATCTCTATAAGTACACTTATACAGATTTTAAAAAAAGAGCAAACGTCTTTGTTTCTGAAAGTACTTCTTAATGTGTTAGTCAACTTCCCTGCCTAAGAAAGTACAGCAATCACAATTATTCTCTGCAAGATTTGATCATCTTGGAGTATAGGACTACCACTCTGAACATGTCACTGTGATGGGCACACAGCCCAGGAGTCTGGGCTGAATGGAAACAGTAACACAGTACACCCAGAAAAAAACTTTTTGGACAGTCTTGCCACTTGCCTCTTTGTTTTAAAACACTGGGTACAGGAAACAGAGAGTCTTATGATAGTTTATGAAAATACCACAACATTATCAAGTGCCATAACATATTTTAATCTGTTTTTATGTATAAAAATATCACAATTTCAGTTTGCCTAAAATCACTTTCTTTTCTAGATGAAGCAGAACATCAATATGAAAGATCACCTGTTAGACATACAGAGACTCATCTGGGGGTGCCCTGTACGTATTCTAATGCACTTGCTACATCTCATGCTCAAAAAGGAGACAGATTCTGATGCAGCTAACATCTGTTGAGTGCCTGTTGTATGCCAGGTGCTGCCAAGCTCTCATACTCCACATCCTTGTTATCTGCAATGATGCTAGATGAGAAGAGGCACAAGTGGGTTGGACCCCATCTCAAGATTTCTCTGTAGTCTTAGCACCTTGCTTGGTACTACAGAGCTCATGACCCGCTTTGAGGAGTGGGGCCACGTCTTTATTGTTTTCTATCTCCCTGCACATAATGTCTGGTGCAGGATTCTGCCCACTGAGGACATCTGTAAAAATCCTAGAAGTCCTCTGTTAGTTATCTGTTACCTACGGAATATCGTCTGACTCATTCTGCTTTCCTTCTCATTGCCTTGCCTACCACCTTATGATCAAACCACACAGACACACTCACAGTTCTCTAGTGATGTCAGCCTCTCCCTACACATTTGTGTTTTGCTCATGCCCTTCCCTCTAAGAAATTGCTTCTTTTTCTGCTCCACTGGATAAACTCCTATTCATACTTTAAAGATCCAGTTCAAGTATCATCTGCCTTGAAAAGTTTCCCCTGACATCTCCAGGTGTGAGTTGCCCTTTTCTCGGTATTCTCAACAGCCTGCACCTCCCTGTCACACTTTCTTACAGTCCTTTATCCACAAGATTGGGAGCTCCATTAGGTATGAACTAGTGTCTTCTAGTGTTCAGCATATAGCGGGAGTTTAATATGTGAATTATATTGAATTAAAGTATCAATCGATTGTGGTTTTATTTGGCCAAATTGAGGAAGCAAAATGCAGTTGTTTTGGCCTAGTTTAGATCTGCACATTTTGAAAGGGAAAGAGTAATGGGATTGATTGGGTTACAGAAAATCCAAAAATCTTGGGGCTCACAAAGTCCACAGAACTTTATCTCTGGATCACTATATGCCCCAAGTGATCATCTCCATGGCTAGATCAGTAAAAGAGCCTGACATCTTAATTTGTAACATTTCATTCACTTCCTTTTCTTGATAGATCCCTTCTGACTCACCCACATCCCCACTTTATTTTTGGTAGTAGGAAAGCATTTATAATAAAAAAAAATTTTCAATAGTTTTAAAAATTAGACAACTCCCTCAAGTATAGTTTTAAAAACAATGCTTTTTTCATAATTGAACTTAGTTATACTCACCACTTACATCTTTTGGGATATGATTACTCAGTAGTGAGACTTATTTTATAAAATATATATATATATATTTCTAATTCTTTTTGTTTATTTCATAGACTCTATCAGAAGCAAACAGATATCTGATTAGGGTTCAAGATGTGGCCCAACTTCACTGCTGTGATGAGGACATAAGTTTCTATTTAAGGTAAATATTCAGCTATCCTATGGCTATGAGTGTTTCTTACTTATCTTGTACCCAGAATCCAGTACAATGTCTGTCATATTGTAAATATACAATAAATCTTTGTGTGGATCTGAAAAGTCACACATGCACCCCTCTGAGACACGTGAGGTGTTTATCACCTTACTCACATTCCAGGCAGCTACTTCGTAGAATGTAAGAAACTAAACTGTCATTGTCTGGGCCACTAACTCGAGACATGGGATTTCTGGTTTGGTCACTTTCCTACTGAGAGGAGAGCTGATGTGAGATATCACATGGATGATCTGCTCAACTCTAAGAAAGAGAAGACCAGTTAATTACCTGCAGTTAGTTACTGAGGTCAGCACTTGAAAGGTCTCACCATAGGACCACCATTGTATTGAGGTCTCATATGTCTAGTTTGCACAGTGCTCACAGTAGTGTAAAAACTATTGTGATGCGAAGGTGCTAACATTTCCTTTTCTCCTTTACAACAAGGATGGGCAAACTTTCTATAAAAGGTCAGATGGTAGGTATTCTAGGTCTTTCTTACCAAGTGATATCTGTGGCAACTACCTAACTTGGCCATTGTAGCACAAAAGCAACTACATAAATACAATACATAATGATTAATATGATCTTCATAAACAATACAGTATGTAAGTCAGCAAATGTAGCTGTGTTCCAATAAAACTTTATTTACAAAAAGCAAGGAGTGGGGCCATCGTTTTTAAATTCTTGCTTTAGAAAACTGTTTGCCAATCTGTTTTCAGTATTAATGGCAAAGATGGTAGCTCCACAAAGAGCAACCAAATGCAGAGAAATTAATTCCAATAAAAGAAATGAAAATCAGATTGCCTGTTATTTCAATGAACTTTTCACCGAATGTTCCCCAAAGGCCCAGGACAGGATTTGGGTTGGAGGAGAGGTTGGAATAAACCAGTCCCTTCACCTTGATTTAACCAGTCCCTTAAATGGAAATCAAGTCACACAACTGTGTCACTTTTCTCACTGTCCCAGGGCTTTTGTTTTCTCATTTTGTTGTTTTTGGCCAGGAACAATAGAAATGAGCTACAACAAGAGAAGGAAGCTAGATATCAAATTAGCAATTCTAAACACATCCGTGTAGTAGGACACATGCTAGGGATTATTACAGTTTTTTATTATTAGAATTAATTTTACCTTCATATATTCATTCTCAGACACGCTTCCTTTATCTTTCTTAATCTAAGTCCATGTTTCTAGTTGACAGAATTTGCTCTGGGGAGAGTCATTTTAGAGCTAGGAAACCTGGAGGCATTTGTCTCTCTGTAGATATAACCCACATAGTTTTGGATTAAGCCTTTATGTACCTTGGAACTTTGACATTTTCATGTGTGACTTTAAACTTGCTGATTTTTTAAGCATTTATGTTTACTTTTGTTCTTCTAATGGGGTGTCGCCAAGGGCAAAAGTGGAGCCTCTAAGACTGGTGAATAGAGGCACGGGTTTAGATCACCAAACAGAGCCATCCACTGCTCAGACCCCGAGTCCTCTTGAGGACAAACATTATTAAACTACAGAGTATGTATATTGTTAACTTTACTTTTAGCTTACCCAAAGGGACCTATAGTCATTGACCAGGAAACTGGGCACTGGGGGAAGAGAAATACCCAGATTCCTCAGGGATACAGGACTCTGGCTCTGAACTGACTTTTATCCTGGCAACTGCCAGAAGCCACTGTGCTCCACTAGTCAGAAGGTGGGTGATGAGGACAAGGTGATAAACAGTTCTGACTCAGGTCAGCTTGCAGAGGCTTCCCTCATGACTCAGATGGTAGAGTCTGCTTGCAATGCTGGAGACCCAGATTCGATCCCTGGGTTGGGATGATGCCCTGGAGAATGGAATGGCTACCCACTCCAGTATTCCTGCCTGGAAAATCCCATGGACAGAGGAGCCTGGCGGGCTACAGTCCATGGCGTTGCAGAGTCGGACACGACCGAGTGACTAACACTTAGCTCACAGAACCAATGACGTCCTGTTATCTGTTCATGCCAAAGTTTATGCTCTGAAAATTTTAAAGTTTTATGTATTTATGGAAGTTGGGTACTTTGTTTCTTGGTCTGGCTAATATATTAATAGTGATTAAATAATGACAAACACTTCTAGAATGGTGTTAAGAATTTAAGCTATGTTTGGCAGAGTCATTGAGTCTATTTGTGAAAAAGCAAAGAAATCCTGTCCAGGTTCAAGGAAAACACTCTACCCGTGGAATTGGTTCTTCTGAATCTGAGCAGCAGCAGTTTTCTGAAACTTGAGTAGGATCCAGAGTTTCCATTTCAGTTGTTCCATTATGTCAACATGAAAGGCAAAATTATTTGTTTTTACATATGTGGAAGAATAAAGGTTTTTTTAAAAGGGTTCTGGTGTTTTTTGTCTTTGGATGAAACGTGTTGAAGCTTTTGGTGAGTATAAATGGCTTTTGGAAAGCTTTTTCCTAGGTAAAATTCATTTATATGTATTTTAAATAGCACTTTCATAATCAGATTAAAATAATAAAAACCTCTTTGTGCATTTATCTTTCTCTGCTCACATCCTCAGGTTACAAGTGGCCTCAACTCCAAGTTCAATAAGTGCCTGCTTCTTCCCTCCTCTGGGCCATCCACCCACCCAGTCCAAGTGGGTCACACAATTAGAATTCTCCCTTCATTTAACTTACTTTCAATGCTATCCCTTCCAAAGTGAAAAACCAAACATCTGTTTACCAAAGCAAACACCCCTTTCAAAGCTACATTTTCAAAGCACCCTGGTAGGCACATTCCCTGGCCATTCTGATAGAAAGGCAAAGTTTTATTACCGCTTTTAAATATTTTTCTCAAATGATATGATTCTCATCAGTAATAAGAGTAAAAATATTGCCAAAGAAGGGTCACAAACATGGGTGGAATTCTTTTAACGTGGCCATTCAGCACATACAGCTCACCACATACCAATCTACATGCACCCCTTTTCTTGCTTCCCCTTTCCCTCATCCTTACTTCTGTTTGCTCCCTTATTCTCAGAATAACCTATCAACTTAATCTGGAACATTATTTCTTGCAAACTACCAGTAAATATGAAGCATCCCACTCCTTCCAGCCTAAATCATAACCACAGATATGGGAAGGAAATGTTTGAAAAAGGAAGGTGGCTCCAGTGGTTGGATGACCACTGCATTTCTATCTCTCCACACACCTAACATGACCTGTACCCCCAACACTCTCCCAAGAGCTGAAGCTGAAGCAAAGCACTCCTTAAAAATGTTTAAACCACTCCCTCTTCCAGTCTAGTCTTTTGCCCACATCATGGGCACAGCTGTAATAAATACACGACTTAAGTGCCTCAATACTCTCAAGTGTGGCTGGCGAACCAGCATCACCAGGGAGCTGTTAGAAACACAGAATCTCAGGCTAGTCTGCTGCTGCTGCTGCGTCGCTTCAGTCGTGTCCAACTCTGTGTGACCCCATAGACTGCAGCCCACCAGGCTCCTCAGCCCCTGGGATTCTCCAGGCAAGAACACTGGAGTGGGTTGCCATTTCCTTCTCCAATGCATGCAAGTGAAAAGTGAAAGTGAAGTTGCTCAGTCGTATCCGACTCTTCGCGACCCCATGGACTGCAGCCCACCAGGCTCCTCTGTCCATGGGATTTTCCAGGCAAGAGTTCTGGAGTGGGCTGCCACTGTCTTCTCCGCGGGCTAGTCTAGCTCTACTGAATTTGCATTTTAACAAAAATCTCTGGGTAATTCAGAGGCACAGTAAAGTTTGTACAAGTCAGAGCCATTATGATACAGAGTGGATTCTAAATGTGAATTATAGTAGCTTTTATGTCAGTCTTTGGTAGAAATATATACACCATTTGGTCAATCAATCTTACCCTTGGAGACCTTATCTGACAGAAATATCAGCGCATGTAAGGAGTCTGTTTATATGTAAGGAACTGGTTTTTTCAAATATTGCTCACAGTGGCAATAAAGAAAAAACAAAGGAAACGAGGGAGGGAAGAAGGAAGAGAGACCTGAGCCTGCAAACAAAGACATGCCCACTCAGTGAGGGAAGAGTTAGAAAAATGATGGTCCATCCATGCTATTACTTGGTCATTAAAAAGAACTTGAAGTGACTTCTATTGCTGGGAAAAGCAAGAAAAGAGCCTGGAATAATACTCAAAACCACTTACCTGTAAATAGATGCACACATAGGTACATATGTGAGTGACTACTTGAATGGGTTAAAAAAAAAAGTGGAAAGATGATATACTGTTTGGTAACTTGGGTAACACAAGCGGAGGGAGGAGTGAGCCAAACAAAAAGTGAACAATAGTGCAGTAAAACCACTGACAGTACACGCTGATGTAACGGTGTCACTCCTGTACAACTCTCTCTGGTTCTAACTCAGCAACAGAAAAATCAAACAGACGACGAAGATAAAAAATAGAGAATTCCTCTCAAAAACCCAGAGTTGCTTGCTTAGAGTAACGTCCTGAGGGCTTCCTGATGCTTCTAAGAGAAAAACATTTTGGGGGGCTATCCTCCATCCAATAACGAGCTTGCTGCACTTGGCCACTCCTGGTGCTGGACAGAGATTGGGGGCATGGGGTGAGGCTCTCCCAAGTTCCTCCCTAGTACATCATTTGATGCTTGGTTGAGTACTCCCATGAGATAACCCACACCAGAGCACAGTGAAATCCTGCTAAACACTGTGATCTGGCTCCATCAGCAGAAAACCACAGAGGATACTAGATGGAGGTTAGGGACCAAAAAATGCCTACCATTGACCATGGTAACAACCTCAGTAGAATTGAAGAGGTACTTAAATCCAACCTTTCATCAATTTTTCTCCAACTGATATTAGAAAATTCTCTATTTCCCTACTTACTAAATGCTTTTTCCCCCCTGCTTTCTACTTGAGACACCGTACACCTTATTGATTCTTGTGCTTCTCTCTAACCCAACTTGTCACCCTTAAAGATGAAACCAAACTAAATGAAAACATTCTCCACAGATTGTCTAAGTACATCAAACACAAAATACCAACACAGCTTTAACCTGACTTGTGTTGTAACACTGGGAAAATTCAGTGTTCATTTTTTTCTGCATTGATTGGATACTGTCCAATGGATAAGCTCAAATCATTCCACCAGGAACCCTGAGGCCTACCCACATGACTGGTCTGAGAGACAGAGGGACTATTCACACCAGGAGAAAAATATATAGAGAACTTCAAAAAGTCAGTCCAAAGGTCTGAGGGAAAAACCCTGATGATGAGCTTATCAGCATAAAGATGGTGAAGTGTGTAACAAAGCACATATGTATGCATATGTAAAACTAAACTGCTCTTTCTCTTTTTAAACCAGGCTCTATGAACATACCTGTGATCTCAGTCTTTTCCTCTTCAACGATGCACTGCTCGTTTCTAGTCGGGGTACATCTCATACTCCATTTGAAAGGACTTCAAAATCAACCTACCAATTCATTGCATCAGTGGCACTTCATAGGTTAATCATAGAAGACATACCAGACTCCAAATGTATGTATTCTCTTCCTCCTAAGAGATAACACCTTTAAGAAGCTGTATTATATAAAACTCATTAGCTATTAAAGTAGAAAAGTAGGAAGAGAACTGGAATTTGCATTTGCAAATAACTTCCCAAGTATTTTCAGGATCTCATTAATGTAAACTTTCCTCTACCTTTGAAATAGCAAAAGAAAGGAATGCTGGCATTGTCAGACACATACCCTACACATTAGGAAAACAGCTTTCCGAAGTCACAAAGGGAGACATAACCCTGTATCCTTGCCAGGGAAGCTGGAGTCCTTAACCACTATCTTCTATTGCTTGTAGATGTTACAATTTTTATCTATTACTTTTCCATTATACTAGGACTAAGTGATTACTGCAGATTTGACTGTTCTCTATTTCCGTACATTTGCATTTACGAGTTCTCTAAAGGATGCATTTGCAAATGATATTTAGTAACAAACATTTAACTCATAATAATCTCAGAAGAAATAATTGTTACAAAAAAAAATCCTACTTAAACCTACTGTACCTTTTAGTTTTTGTCTTACACTCTACTTTCCAATCTTAAAAAGATCTGTATCTCTTTTCCTATATTTCTGTTAGGCCAGGCAATAGGAATGTAACACCTTTTGTTCCAATATTTTTCACTGCACGTGAAGGTAGGACTTATGGGTAAAGCTAGAACCAAGATCTCAGAGAAGGAACTAATCTAAAAAGAGCTGCTTTCCATTAGCTTTGGCTTCATTTAAAATCTGAGCATGAGAAAAACTGAACACTAAATGTGGGAATAAATATTTTCACCTATTGAGAAATAAATATTTTCACACTCAGGTAAGAAGGGTTAGTTATCCATAATGTGCATGACATGTCTCCTTCCATCTCCCCTTAATCAGCTGTGCTCTATGTCAGAACATCATAATGTAAGCTAAAAGTGGGCATTCAGCTAAGTCGTCGCTGGCTTCATTCTGTCCTGGTGCTCCTACCAGGGTGGCCAAGGTCCAGCTCTCAGCATCTTATCTACAATAACTCTTGTAAAGACCTTTACTGGTTCCAGTTCCTTCTGAAATTAAAGAATATCATATCATCTATTACTTTAAAAATAATTTCTAATTATAACTAAACAATTATAAAGACAAGTTTATTTTAGATTATATTTGAATTTCTCAGTAATTTAGGAAGTTATATTCTAAACTGGATTTGTGTTTGAAACTTTAATTTTCAAAAAGTCTTCAAGATGACTTGATCAACTCTTGAATTTTAAAACATTTTTTCCTTTTGACTATTACCTACAAAAAGTAATTTATGTACTTCCAATATTTTTACAGTTATCAAGAATGCATTTATTCTTCAAGGTCCAAAACATGAATGGATCTGTGCAACAGAAGTTGAAGATGATAAATTTCTATGGTTGTCTGTACTCCAAAATGCCATCAAAAGTAGTATGGAAAAGTGAGTCTGGACCTCAGACAACAGGGGTGCCAATCTGCCCTGACAAAGACAGCGTGTTGTTTTCTGTTCCAGAAGATCCAGTAAGAAGCAGAATAATGGTTCATCATGGATGATCCGTGGATGAACTAGGGGGGACTCATAAAATTCCTCCTAACTTTTAAACTTTATCATCTATGCTCAATTAGGTGAAATGGATAAGAAAAATTTTAAATGTAAAAATTTGAACCACTTCTTTTGATAGCTGTTTTTCATGGACAGTATTATTTAATCTGACTGACAATACCTAAGGCTGAATAAGGATATTGAATATTTAAAGATTTGTTTTCTGATCTAATGAAAAATAAAGTCATAATGAAAAGTATTTCTTAAATGATCAGTCTAGAGAAATGTCTTAATCTGTTGGTGACTTACCAATTATCAACCTCTTTTAACATTTCCATGAAATAGTTATGGATTTTAAAAATATGTATAAGAAATCTAAATAGTACTTTACTAAAAAACTGGTCACATACATCCATAATGTCAATGTATTCCTACAGAGAGCATTAAAAACATACCACTATAAAGCACTAAAATTTTCTGTAATTCTTAAGTGTTCTTTTGTTGCCAAATTAAATTCTTAGACCTTCCAAATAAAATGGTTTAAAAACTTGTTACACTGCTAAATTAGAAGCCTGTTTGGTAGAGGGTGAGGGGGTACTTTCTAAAAAACAAAAACAAAACTTGCCTGTAATGGAATTTAGCTGAGTAAAAACTGAAGAAATTAAGACAATTCTATTTAAAATAGAAAAAAAATAAAAATAGGTATTGAGTAGTTTTCTTGTCCCTTAAAGCTTTCATTTAATTATTTAATAAACTGAAGCTATAAACTGGTTAGCCACTTTGAAACTTTAGCTGATATATGCAATAGTAATATTTTTACTCAGTTAATAATAGATAATATTGTATTAATCTTGGAAGCTTTTGGCTGTCAGTTTCCTCTTTGCTTCAAATTCTCCTTTAAGGAAATGAAATCTACTAGTACAGTCTAGCATTGTGAAGTAGGCTATTTTAAACATTTTCTTTTTTCTATGACAAAAATACAAATTCCTTCTAATTCTTAAAAATTTAAATTCTTGTTTAAAAATGTACAAAAGTTAAAATGTTGTTTTTAATTACTGTAAAATCACACTTCTGATTATGATAAAAGCATGCAGCTTAACATCTATGTCAGACAGAATAAAACATTAAAGGAATGTCTGCTGTTAGTCAGCAATAAATGTAAATTCACAAATGTGATCAAAATGGAACTATCATATAATAGGAAACAAATCCTGAGACACTACATGATCCTGAATAGGACAAATTTTAGAAACTCTTTGTTAATAGGAAAAGTCTCTCTCTATAGCAAAAGAATGGAGTAGAAATGGCAACCCACTCTACTATTCTTGCCTGGAGAGTCTCATGGACAGAGGGGCCTGACAGGCTACAGTCCATGGGGTCGCAAATAGTTGGATATGACTGAGGGACTAAACAACAAAAACATGGCAAAAGAATGAGTAACAAGAGAGCTAAAGATAACTAGGAATCTTAAGGAATTTTCATTTATTATAATAGTGAATAATTAAGATCCTCAGAAGTTCTAAAACATGTTACTTGAAAACACTTCTAGAGACTGATGAGCATAAGCTTATAATTGCGAGTTTAGTGCATAAATCATGCAAAAAGTGACGTCTGCAACTGGACAGTACATCAACACTTTCCCTTTGCTCCTAGCAGACAATTTAAAAACGCCTATCTTCAGTTATTTCCTAATTGTACAGGACTGCTGAGGAATTAAATTCTCACACACAACAAAGTTTAAGTCACAGGTGATAGTGATCAAATTTTCATCAGGAAAACATAAAATCTTCCCCCTAAGCTGATATGAAAAAGCCTGTAAGTGCCATGAGACTCTTGAAGGATGTTGGTTACAGCAGAGCTTATGGTTAAAGTATGCCTTATCCCATCAGTTCTTTCAAATTAAAAATCAAATAGGAAACACATTTTAAAGATTTTTGGATTCTTTAAGTATTAAGCCTAAAGACAAATTGACAGTTTATTTAATTTTGTATCCTTTTGAGAATATTTCTGAGTTTGTGCTTAAGGTGTTAAATGAGAAACCCATTCTATAAATCCAAGCAGTGTGAGGTTTTGGCCACATAAGTGTAATGCACCAAAGCTATGGGATATCAAGGGGGGAGGGGGGCTGTGCCAACAAACACAATACACCCTCCAGAAAAAGTCATCCTGACCCTTTTATTGTTGAAATTAAAAAATAAAAGATACTTAAATACAATGGTGAACATATAGGGCAAAACAGAATCATAAAATTTAATGTTGAATTAAGCAGTGAGCTGAATGTCTGGGTCTCCAAATTGGCTTTGAACCCAAAACCGCTTAAAAACAGGTATGTTCACAGTTAACGGCAACTGGCTTAAAGGTGAGAGAATGGTCGAAGCTGTTCCAGTTGAACTTCCAGGGAAATTCTCTCCTCAAGAACATCCTGAAAAAGATGGAAAGATAAGTTATGTTTCAACATATACAAAAATGCAGGCACATTTAACAGCAGCACTGCATGAAGGGACAGCTGTTCCTTTTAGAAACACAGTTTCTTTTTAGGTGAGTACATTAAAACACAATCTTAATTAAGATCTTTTTTTCTCATTACTTTAAATCAGGGTAATCAAATTTTTTTCCTTCATTATTAGAAAAGCCAGTAGTTTCAGATGATGGTTATTAATGCATGAATTTTGCACAAAGCCCACCCCTTGCAGTAACTGCAGATGAGATGGTTAACAAAGATTTTTTCCCCTGGTCATAACAACTCCTGCACCTCATTTTGAGCTTCAGTTTCACAATGAATTAATGTATTTTATAATCAGAATTTCTAATGACTGTCAATTTGGGACAGTCTTTTCAGACAGTCAGCAACTTATGCATCCATATCCTTTTTTTTTCTCAATCACACTGACAGTTAATGACCTCCTCCTATTTGGTACCATACTTTCTCAGAGGATAATGAGAAAAGTAATTTTTAAAAACAGCTTCTATATGCATGTTTCTATGGTTTTTTGTAAAACATGCATTAACAAAACTCACCTAAAGGTAGCTACCAGAAAGCTTGTCATTTAGTTTCACATTCTTCCTTTACAATGGACCAAATTCACAAGTCATAGAACAGCTATGAATATCTTCTTTGATCAAAGAGTTACACAAGAATACTATTCCTTTAATATACATTTATCAACTGCCCCACATGTGTGGAGTTTTGAGGACAAAGCAAGATGGTTATAAACCTATCCAGGACAGTCTCAGTTTATCTCTGATGTCCTGGCCTACATATTAACACATCCCTTTCTCTCTTTTCTCTTAAAAGTACTTTGGTTTGAACAATATATTACATGGTCACTGTAAACAGGAATGATTATGACTTAGCCTCAGTGAGTTCAGGTTAGTAGGACAGAGACACAAATGTGCCATAGATATGGACAATGTGATAAATGCTAGAAAAGGAATATGAACAGAATATTACGAGACTCAACTGACTCTGTATTCATTTTACATTTCCATGGACTCCTTCCTCATCTTTATGGTTTACAACCTTGCTACTCAAAGTGGAGTCAACTGTCCAGGAGCTTCTCCTTCACCTGAAAGCTTATTAAAAATTGCAGAACTCTCAGGTCCTTCTCCATACCAGACATGAGTCATAATTTTCATTTTACCATGGACCCTTCCTACGTGTATACAATTAAGGTTTGAGAACTGCTGGTTTATAAGACGTGAATGCCGAATAATCTTGATGAATCATACATGATTCTGCTTGTTAGTTTTTATGTATAGGGATTAAAAAAAATCATGGTGAGTAGTAAGCAAGAAAAACTCATCCTCTCAAGTACAGATGACCATTTCTTTTTTTTTTTTTCATTTATTTTTATTAGTTGGAGGCTAATTACTTTACAACATTGCAGTGGTTTTTGTCATACATTGAAATGAATTAGCCATGGATTTACATGTATTCCCCATCCCGGTCCCCCCTCCCACCTCCCTCTCCGCCCTATCCCTCTGGGTCTTCCCAGTGCACCAGGCCCGAGCACTTGTCTCATGCACCCAACCTGGGCTGGTGATCTGTTTCACCCTAAATATACATGTTTCGATGCTGTTCTCTTGAAACATCCCACCCTCGCCTTCTCCCACAGAGTCCACAAGTCTGTTCTATACATCTGAGTCTCTTTTTCTTTTTTTGCATATAGGGTTATTGTTACCATCTTTCTAAATTCCATATATATGTGTTAGTATACTGTAATGGTCTTTATCTTTCTGGCTTACTTCACTCTGTATAATGGGCTCCAGTTTCATCCATCTCATTAGAACTGATTCAAATGAATTCTTTTTAATGGCTGAGTAATATTCCATGGTGTATATGTACCACAGCTTCCTTATCCATTGGTCTGCTGATGGGCATCTAGGTTGCTTCCATGTCCTGGCTATTATAAACAGTGCTGCGATGAACACTGGGGTGCACGTGTCTCTTTCGGATCTGGTTTCCTCAGTGTGTATGCCTAGAAGTGGTATTGCTGGGTCATATGGCTGTTCTATTTCCAGCTTTTTAAGGAATCTCCACACTGTTTTCCATAGTGGCTGTACTAATTTGCATTCCCACCAACAGTGTAAGAGGGTTCCATTTTCTCCACACCCTCTCCAGCATTTATTGCTTGTAGACTTTTGGATAGCAGCCATCCTGACTGGCGTGTAATGGTACCTCACTGTGGTTTTGATTTGCATTTCTCTGATAATGAGTGATGTTGAGCATCTTTTCATGTGTTTTTTTGCCATCTGTATGTCTTCCTTGGAGAAATGTCTGTTTAGTTCTTTGGCCCATTTTTTGATTGGGTCATTTATTTTTCTGGAGTTGAGCTGCAGGAGTTGCTTGTATATTTTTGAGATTAATCCTTTGTCTGTTGCTTCATTTGCTATTATTTTCTCCCAATCTGAGGGCTGTCTTTTCACCTTACTTATAGTTTCCTTTGTTGTGCAAAAGCTTTTAAGTTTCATTAGGTCCCATTTGTTTATTTTTGCTTTTGTTTCTAAAATTCCGGGATGTGGGTCATAGAGGATCCTGCTGTGATTTATGTCGGAGAGTGTTTTGCCTATGTTCTCCTCTAGGAGTTTTATAGTTTCTGGTCTTACATTTAGATCTTTAATCCATTTTGAGTTTATTTTTGTGTATGGTGTTAGAAAGTGTTCTAGTTTCATTCTTTTACAGGTGGTTGACCAGTTTTCCCAGCACCACTTGTTAAAGAGGTTGTCTTTTTTCCACTGTATATCCTTGCCTCCTTTGTCGAAGATAAGGTGACCATAGGTTCGTGGATTTATCTCTGGGCTTTTTATTCTGTTCCATTGATCTATATTTCTGTCTTTGTGCCAGTACCATACTGTCTTGATGACTGTGGCTTTGTAGTATAGTCTGAAGTCCGGCAGGTTGATTCCTCCAGTTCCATTCTTCTTTCTCAAGGTTACTTTGGCTATTCGAGGTTTTTTGTATTTCCATACAAATTGTGAAATTATTTGTTCTAGTTCTGTGAAAAATACCGTTGGTAGTTTGATAGGCATTGCACTGAATCTATAGATTGCTTTGGGTAGTATAGCCATTTTGACAATATTGATTCTTCCAATCCATGAACACGGTATATTTCTCCATCTGTTTGTGTCCTCTTTGATTTCTTTCATCAGTGTTTTATAGTTTTCTATGTATAGGTCTTTTGTTTCTTTAGGTAGATATACTCCTAAGTATTTTATTCTTTTTGTTGCAATGGTGAATGGTATCGTTTTCTTAATTTCTCTTTCTGTTTTCTCATTGTTAGTGTATAGGAATGCAAGAGATTTCTGTGTGTTAATTTTATATCCTGCAACTTTACTGTATTTGTTGATTAGCTCTAGTAATTTCCTGGTAGAGTCTTTAGGGTTTTCTATGTAGAGGATCATGTCATCTGCAAACAGAGAGAGTTTCACTTCTTCTTTTCCTATCTGGATTCCTTTTACTTCTTTTTCTGCCCTGATTGCTGTGGCAAACACTTCCAAAACTATGTTGAATAGTAGTGGTGAGAGTGGGCACCCTTGTCTTGTTCCTGATTTCAGGGGAAATGCTTTCAATTTTTCACCATTGAGGGTGATGCTTGCTGTGGGTTTGTCATATATAGCTTTTATTATGTTGAGGTATGTTCCTTCTATTCCTGCTTTCTGGAGAGTTTTAATCATAAATGGATGTTGAATTTTGTCAAAGGCTTTCTCTGCATCTATTGAGATAATCATATGGTTTTTATCTTTCAATTTGTTAATGTGGTGTATTACATTGATTGATTTGCTAATATTAAAGAATCCTTGCATTCCTGGGATAAAGCCCACTTGGACAGATGACCATTTCTATTTAAGGTTTGTCTTTTCTGTTTTAGAGATGATCTAAATTGCCCCCATCCCTCTTCTTCAGACCTGTCATTTTCATAGAATCTGAGTTGTTTTGATAAAAGGATAAGTTAACAATACTCAAATCATTGTAGAATTAGTGTGTAGAGAGCCACATATATGATCCTAGAGGTAGCTGGGGTCACAACATTTCTACTCTTGGGTTTCATTATGAAAGTTAACGAACATTTTCAGTTCAGTTCAGTAGCCCAGTCACATCCGACTCTTTGCGACCCCATGGACTGCAGCACACCAGGCCTTCCTGTCAACTGCCAACTACTGGAGTTTACTCAAACTCATGCCCATTGAGTCGGTGATGCCAACCAACCATCTGGTCCTCTGTCATACCCTTCTCCTCCTGCCTTCAATCTTTCCCAGCATCAGGGTCTTTTCAAATGAGTCAGCTCTTCATATCAGATGGCCAAAGTATTGGAGTTTCAGCTTCAGCATCAGTCCTTCCAATGAATATTCAGGACTGAACATTTCAGGAATATACTTTACATACATATAGGATAAGGCAATCATACAAGAAATTAGTACAGGAAATTCTTTTTAATATTAAAAGATTCAAAGGCATATAAAACACTTTAGGTCCACACTTCTCCTGCTACTCGGAAAAGTTTCATACTAGCAAGAACTGCTGGATCACCTCCAAGTCTAGTTCAACACTAACAGGCTCTGACTCCACAGAACTTTCCAAATAAAGATTCAGAAACTACATTACCTTTAACTGTTGCTGCAATTCACTATTCAATCTGGCCAAAACTGTGTTGGTTTCCTTATTGCGTCTAATTGATGCCTGAATAGCTTTCTTATCTTTCCCAACAGACCTGAGAAGATACAGAGAGCAAAAAACTTGACCTTCACTCTTATTATTAAATTCATTCCATTCTTCCCTGTGATCTATGGCCAATCCCAGAAAGCCGAGGGAGCACCTTTGCCCTGCTAGCGTATCTCAACCTTGCTTGATCAGTTTTAAAGCTCAACCAAAAACTACTAAGCTTCAGAGGCTTAATTACTGTAGTTATTGATTTAGTGACTTTTCTGTAGAATCACCTGAGTTTAAGTCAGTGCAGAGCAGGAATAAGCAAACAGTTTTTCTATAAATAGTCAGATAGTAAGTATTTTAAGGTTTGCAGACCGTACCATTTCTGCTGAATATTCTGTTTTTTTGTATTTTTTCTTTTTCTCTTTTTAAACAAAAACGTAAAAACCCTTACAAAAACTGGCCCTGGGTTGACTTTGGCCCATGAGCTCTAGCTTGCCAATTCTTGATTCTAGAACAACCATAGTTAAAACATCAGTGTTACTGAGCAATATAATTTTTAAAGTCTGCTCTAGGATTTGTAACTTGAGTTGAACTTAATAACAAAAGGGGGGGGAAAAGTGGGAAGAATATTCTACTTACTCATAAATGAGAAAACTCTCAAAGGGGAACAGTGGAGGACCTGTGCTCAACTACAGGACCAGTCTGACCATAATTCCCTTCTGTTTAATATTTTTAATTACTGTGCATTTTGTTCCCAGTAGTTACACATGTTTAGGAACAGCTTTGGTTACCGAGGAATAGAAGGTTGTGATGCAAGAACAGCAGCTAGGACGCCTGTCTTCTGTGTATGTTCATCAACTTCTGGCCTTAATTCATCTTCCGATTTTAATCTCCTTCGAACAGGCTTAGGTGGTGGAGCAAGAGGTGTTGTGCCTTTGCTCTGGGAGACAAGAATTTCATGAATAATAAGCATTTCTTGAAGACATTTGTGGTTTGTTAGCACTTTGCCAACATCATATGCTTTCTTTAAGCCTTTCATTCTCTAAAAATTATGGGTCACTTGTCCTACTTTAAAACAACTTATGTATTTGTGGCAACAGCTAACTTAAATTACAATGGGAAAGAATGTTCCTAATGACATCACAACTGTAAATGTACCTATTAGACAAAATTTTTTACAGGGTGACATAACAAACTCCTCAAGGCCCGAATTCTGTGACTCAAGGCTATAATATTCAGTTTTAGCATAACACACTCAATATGTATCTGTTCAATAACTATAAAAGGCAATCTCCAGAAATATGATCCAGTATCACCACAGGGTTTTCTATTCAAATATCCTGATATATCATCTTAATGAATAATTTATAAAGAAGTGAAAAACCAGGCAATTTTAAAAAAATCTTTCATTAAGGTATACAATAACTCTTAAAAATGACTGGCGGTTTTATTGGAGATCTGTCCTCAACAGAATCAAAGATAAGAGTCTGGTATTTATTATAACCTGATTTGACCTGTTAATAAATAAAAACAAGAGTCAACTGCCATCCCTTTGGTTAAATGCTATTTTTAATCTATTGCCATTTACTGACAAAATAAAATTCACTATTAAAAAAATTACAGAAGTACTAAGAGTAAAAAAAAAAAGTGCCCAGAAAGTAGTATTTAAATACTTTCAGAAACACTCACTGTTTTAATGACTACTGGGGGTGTCTCAATGATAACAAAAAAAGTGACCAAAATTTCTTTCTCAAGAAGTGTCCTGTTATCTGCAATGTACTTTGAAATGCAAACAACAGATAAGAAGGACTGATATAGAGAGAAGGATGCAGATATAAAGCAAGTATATTAACACAAGGGAAAATGTTATATTTTTCTATTTCTTTAATTCTGTATTTATACGCAATGAAGAACATTCACTAAACATACTGATAGTCATTTCATTATATATGTAAGTCAAATAATTATGTTGTACACCTTAACTTAAACTGTGTTGTGTATCAATTATATCTTAATGAAACTGGAAGAAAAATACAGTAAATATTAATGGTACAATCAAGGTGTGGCTTTATTGTTGTACAATATAAAATTCTTCCGACTTTTCTGTATGGTTAAAATTTTTAGCAATAAATTTTTGGGAAAAAATTATTCCTAAGACAGCTAAAAAAAAGAGCAGAAAGTATAATGTTAACTTTGCCAAGTCACTTCAGTCATGTCTGACTCTGTGCGACCCCACAGACAGCAGCCCACCAGGCTCCCCTGTCCCTGGGATTCTACAGGCAAGAACACTGGAGTGGGTTGCCATTTCCTTCTCCAATGAAAGTGAAAAGGGAAAGTGAAGTCGCTCAGGTCGTGTCCAACTCCTAGCGACCCCATGGACTGCAGCCTATGAGGCTCCTCCATCCATGGGATTTTCTAGGCAAGAGTACAGGAGTAGGTTGCCACTGCCTTCTCCCAATATTAACCTTAGAGGGTTGATAATCTTTACCTGTTATACATTCAGAACTGAAATAACAGAAACTGAGTATGACAAAAAAGGAAGTTCTACTTAATGTACTTGAAACAATGTAACAACCACACAAAATCTGAGAACCTGTGGCACGCATTAATACAAATGACAGGCTATCATCTCTATCTCTCAGTGGATTGTGTTCTGAGACAGGCTATATGTACTACAGTTTAAGGCAGTGAAACGGGTTAGATGATCTCTAACTTTATTTGTAAGATTTTTCAAATTATATCATATAATTTTTATATGTATAAAACAATCAATACTATAAAAGACTTTTGTATACCACATTGGCGGGAGCACTAGCAGCTGTCTTTTCTTCAATTTTACTATCTGTTTTGGCAACGCGAAGAGAACTTGCGGGATCAGAAGCTTTTTCAACCTAGAGATGAGTATATTATTATTACAAATTATATATAAGTAACATACATATATGAATATATAAGTGACAGATCAGAGAGTAAAATGTTTAGAAAACATTCATTCTAACAGTAAGAAGCTCAGATGAAGATGAGAGGAGTTTGAGACTACCCTGTGAAATGATCATGCATCTGCCCCTTTAGGGCAGAGAGGGAAGAGAATACATCTCTGAGGGGATGGCAGACGATGTCTGGGAAGTTCTTTGGTTGGGGGAGGGTACGTACAAGTACCCCCTGCACACCGCTACTCCCACCTCAGGCCCAGTCTGCCTTCCTGGAGGTGCAGCCCATTTCCCTAGTAGCCCCAGGCCAGGTGGAAAGTTACAGGTTTGAAGAACTAGCTGGCAGAAAATTTTCCATGGACCAAATCTGTAAGAACTCTTTATGTAAAGTATGCCAGTCAAACGTCAGTTTTTTAAATCTATTAGAGAAGATCAGTATAAACTGGAATAATCAGAGCAAACTTCAGAATTCCCCTGTTTCCTCCAACTCCATATTTACACTTATGAGGACAGGGATTCTTGTCCCTCATAGAGAAGTTTTTGCTGCTAGAACCAAACAGTCCTCCAGAACACTGGCTGCAAAGATGAAATTCTGGCATCCTGTGGTCTGTAAGTCTGTCTAACTGATATGACTTACTCCCATACAATTTTCACCAAATCACAATCAAATGCTTAGCATTAAGAGGCAACCCCATAAACTGACTTATTCTCATACAAAGCGAGTGTAGCTATGGCAACCACAGCTTCTTCTTATACAGAAATCTTCGAATCACACAATCAGATGCTCAGCATTAAAATGCAACCCCCAGAACAGTGTTTTAGCCAAAACCAGATGGTTGCATCTTTTCACGTGACATCTACCCTTCACCCAGATACTGATTCTTACTAAGCATTTTATGCAACCAGCAGGTGGTCTGAGGCCAGTAAGAAATTGAGAAGCATTGATCTAGGGAATATAAACCCTCTAAAAGCAGCAACAGCAGGTATTTTACTCACTGATGTCCCTTCTATTATCTGCTCTTTTAGGGGTTCCTCTGTTTCAAGACTGGCTTATGAGTACAATATTGGAAGATTCCCAGCAGAAAATTAGAGAAGCCCTTGAAAACTGACCGGCAAGACCTCTGGATGTTTCTCGGCTTCATCATCTTGTTCTTCATTTACATTTGATGCAGCAAATACTTCAAATTGGCTGAAATCTGCAAAGTTTGGTTGTTCTGGTATCTGCTGAGGTGAGGTACTAGTGTGAGTTATGAGGCCATCGGCATCCACTGGGCGATGCACAACGGGACCAGGAGCCTATAGGAGGGTTTAGGATACAGGAGCAAATATCTTACTGATCTTAGTGTCACAGAGTAGCCTTCTTTTTCTTTGAAAATTTATTGTAAGGATGGTCTGATTTATTAGCTGGAAATTCAGGAAGGTGAGCTACAGTAACATTTAGCTCTAAAAAACCTTGAGTGAAATGCCAAGACTAAAAAATTAAGATAACGAATCTCCAAATAAAAAGATACTTTAACAAAGCTCTTATTGCCAAGAATGTGCAACAAAGGAGATAAGTTCTGGCCTTAATCTCTGATTCTCTCTTTGCATCTATTTTTTCCTTAATTAGGTTGCTGCATAATGATTCATTATTTTAAAAAGCAGTTTTTAAAAATGTTTCATTATGTTTCTAAAAAGACTATTATATCTAAAGTGTGAAAACCAGTGCTCTAGCTACTCTCCAGCACTCCAGTGCACTTGCTTCAATTTGTCCTGCACTCTTTTACAAGATCAATTCTCCTAAAGTCTCCATTTGAAAACTAAATTTATTGAGTACCTATACTTTTGACCAAACAAATAAGGTCCATCCCTAACAAAGCTGATAATCTAGTGCAGGATACGAGGGAAGTAAACAAGGGATTAAAATACAGTGTGAGTTCTGCGACAGAGGAAGCACAGCAAGCTAAAGGAATGAATCTGAAGTCTCTCCTCTGCTTGCCCTTAAAAAATTCTCCCCATCCTACAAGAAAAACTCCACGATCTTAGTATGACAGAGGAGATGCTCTGTCATTTCCTCATCTCTTCAATTTTATTTCCCATCACTCTAGTTGTACTGAACTCAATAGCTTTTCCTTGAAGAATATGCCAGGCCTATCTTACCTTCTGTGCCACTCCTTCTGGTTATAATGCCTTCTCCTTAAGAAACAGTATTTTATCTTTCAAGTCTCTGCTTAAGTCTAACTTCCTTCATTTTACTTAACTTTTTCAGTGTGATCCCTGATGTTACTAGCTAGGACATCTATGCTAAAACATTTTATAAGTATGTCTACTATAGCATTTCTATTATAACTGCTTACAGGTCTGTTTTTCCCACTAGACTGGTTCTTGAGTCAAGAGATAATTCACTCCATTTTACACCTTAATACAGTATTTTCACTGGCCCTTTAGATAAAATAAATACTGGAATATTCAAATTTCAGTATCTTTGACAATTAGGAAACCATATTTTTAACTACAAATAACCAATTTCATTATAAGAGTCTAACTCAGAAAAATCAACCAAATTCATTCATGTAAAAATGTAGCCAGTCAGTCACATAAAACTAAGCTACAAACTAGAATCTACTTTGGAACATAATAGTTTTATGCAGATGAAAGAACTTTGACCTGTTAGTTGTGCAACACTTTGTTCACTGATGCAGGAACACATCCAGGGAGATTACCTTGAGTCACTACTAGATCCAGGACATACATGACACACTTCCTATCCCTCAATCCATTGATTCTTCTTCTAAACCCTCCTTTGTCGAGACATTATCATTTGGTTCACTTCTAAGCTTTTTTGAAAAAACAACCCAAATCATTATTGGAATTCTTATCCTCTAAGAAAAGACCTAGCTTCTCTAAATTAAATATGCATTAAGAATGATAGTTAGGCAATTCCCGATTTTCAAAATAATTATAGAATAGAATCAAAGACCTAACAGATAAACTGACCAACGGGACTATAATAACTGATGCTTACTAATGAAGACCTAGGAGAGTTACCTGGGAGGGCTGTGGTCTTGGAGGCACTGCAGGAGGTTGGGCAACAACTCCAGCCTGTTGCTGTCCTGTGTGAATACACAAATCTTCTTTTTGTAAATATATATAATTACTTTGCCAGTAAAGCAGAAAGGCTGAATGAATGTGATCAAATGATAAGGATTTCAAATGCCAATGTATAGTACTGGAAGCCAAATCCATCTCGTCAGACTGTCCGGATATGGCTGAATCTCACAGCCTCTTCTCAGACCTCACTTCCCTCGCTCAAGTGCACACAGCGCTGGTCTCGCTCCTCCCTGTCCCAGTAACACTACACGTTCTTGGTCTTCTCCCCACCTTTCTGACTACTTTTAGCTATCAAATATGAAGACTTCCAAATTTCCTCTTTCCACTTAGCATTTTAGTCTACCATTTCTATGTAAATGATTCTCAAATAATAGATCAATCTTGCTTAGCCCATAGGTCCAGTGGCCTGTTGATTTCTTTCTCTTCTTTCTCATCATTCCAAACACATAATATCAAAAACAGAACACCATCACCCTCTACCCTAACTTCTCTATTCTGACCAACAGTAAGACCAGTCACATAAAAACTGAACCCTCTGAGTAAGTTACGATTCCTCTTTCTCCTCTGTCATGTAATGTAAGACCTATTAGCTTTTCCTCCTTAATATCTCCACATAAAATCTTTGTTTTAAAATCTCTTGTGGCATCTCTCAGGTTACCATCTTTATCATTTGAACTCGCATTTTAGATAGTCATTAAAAAAAATAAATTCCCTCTCACCTGATACTTTTTCAATTTAAAATTTTTCTTCAGATAAATATAAAAAAATAAGAGAAAACAAAATACTGTGTATCTTTAATCAACTAAATATATTTAACAATTTAACATATTTAATTTAATTTGTATCACAGTTCTCTAACCCCTACCTGTTGTGACGGAAAAGGTCCGATTCATGTCTAAAGATGACGACCTAGAATGAGAGGGCTGAGGCCGTGGCGGTGGAGGTGGTGGCGCGGTGTTTTCAGGTGACGTTCCTGAATGAGACCTGCAACAGTGGCTTCATTACAACTGGTCATGTTATTGATATTGCAGCTTTTCTTTTTAAGCAATCAAACTTAGCTAAGCAGCAAAGGATCTTATTGGAGTGACATTTTCTCCAGAGGGTACACAGGTATTACAATGAATAGAGTATAATTTACAATATGCATTCAAGAAGCAGTTACTTAATACAGCAAATAATCTTCTAACTATACATTTAACAAAATTTTAAAGAACTTTAAAAAAAGTTATTAACATGAATTCAAGGTAGACTACTAACCTAGTGTAATGTTTTCACATTCAGTTAAAGGCAATATTAGTCTGAAAAGCTGTTTTCAAAGAAGAGAAACTGTACTTTCAGATACGATTAGCTTTCAACGTATTTAAACTTGGTAAGCTGAGGTATACTTTGGCTCAACTATGTGAGATGCCATCTCATCTTAAAATCACTCATTTTAGAGGTGATTATACTCATGTTCACTCACCCTGGAGATCTGCTATTAGCCACCAAAGTCTTCTATATTCTGAAGAATCTCATGGACTAAGACAATCTGATCCTCACTTATAGGAATAAAAGGGAGACTAAAATCCCAAATGAGAACTCTAAGACATATGAAGAAGCAGCCTTCTGACTGTGTGAGCTCTTGGAGAGTCTACGTTACCAGTCTCTCCATACACCCTCCAGGTGTGTGGCAAAAGACTCTCACGATGTATGAAAAGCAGCAGAGAAAGATGCTTCTGTCCTGTGCAGTTTTGAGAGGATGGTGAAGCCCTGGGAGACAGACCCCTTGCCACCTCACCCTATCCCATATCATTTTTGTCTGTGCCTGAAAAGTTAACATGTGACACAGGTCTTCAGGATGGGTAGGTAGCCCAACACTGCCTGTTGTCCAGATGACATTTTAGAACACCAAATTCTTTTGGTACTTGTCCCATACGGCTCTGAGAGGAAACCTGCACATTTCATACTTAAAGAGACTCTCACTGCTCAGCTACAAAAAAAGGACTGTATTAAACCAACTGCAAAGAAGTTATCAGTTTATTTTAAACCTTCCACAGAATACCATGAAGACAACAATTCCTTTTGCTTTGCTTTGCTTTGGAAAGAATAAAAATCATTTCCCTTTTACATAAATCAATTGGTAATCTGACAGCATTTAGAGAAGTGAAGAACTGAGAAAAATAATTTATGCATGCTAAATCGCTTCAGTCGTGTCTGACTCTGTGCAACCCCATGGACTGCAGCCCACCAGGCTCCACTGTCCACGGGATTCCCCAGACAAGAATACTGGATGGGTTGCCATTTCCTTCTTCGAAAATAATTTATACTTGGTTTCAAATAATTTTCAATATTAAAATGTAACAAAATACTTTAATTATGCTTTTTTTAATTAACAGAAACACTAACCTTTGACGAGTTACGTTGTTTCCGATCTGTTCTGGATCCGAAGTAAAAGAGTCTGAACTACTGTACCCATCTGCTGATAAATAGGATATATCCTATTTAATAATAATCATTTCTTTACTTTTTATTCTATATGCCCTAAACAGGTAACTGAATTATTGTTTCAAACCAGGGATATTCAAAGATAGGCCAACAAGTTAATGTTTCATCACTGTATTACTAACCATAAAAGATTAGAGATAAATCAAATAAATGGTGTACTTATACAACAAAATACTATGCACCGAGAGAAATTAAAATCTAGAAATGCTACCATTTGATAATAGAGAAATATTCAAAATTAGTTACACAGAAGCAGGGCAGAAAATAGTACATATACCACAATTTCATTTCATATAAAAATATAACATGCACAAAGTAAAGATTAAGGTTGACAATGAATGTTAATTATGGTCATTTGTGGAACAGTGAGATTATAATTTGTATTTTCTTATTTTTGTTTATTACATTTCTACAAGTGTGAATAGTTTTTATAAAGAAAAAAATTCATTTTAAAGGATAAATTAGAAGCATTTTAAGTTAAAAAGCGAACTTAAAAATTGTTAATGTAAATTTTAAAAAAATTGATAAAGGAATAAACTGTGCTTAGACAATGATAAAACTTATGAAATTAAACAGAGGGTACCAATTTTTCACCTGAGGACATATTTTCAATTTCCTCAAAATCTTATAAAGGAGCAGAGAATCCCAGAATCAGACTAACAGTTATGAAACAATAAAGAAGTTTTAAAACAGAAACTCTAGGGATAATCTGAAGAAATACTACTAAATACCTTTCAAGAGTTATAAATTCAAGGGACTGGTTATTTGGTTTAGTTTCATTTCAAAGTGTATCCCGCTTCTTTTTCCTGTCAAATCACTGAGAAGTTTACTAATTGGTACAGGAATGATGCTAAAATTAAACACATTCTTATTTGGATGTTGTTAACAGGCATCTCAGACTGAACATGTCCAAAACTGAATCCTACCCTTTCTCCCACAATTCTACTACAACAGACTTCTTCAGTTTCCAGTTGCTCTGGCTAACATCCCTTGAATCACCCTGATTCCCATGCCTCTACCCCTCACATCCTGTATCACAAAGGTAAGCAAATCATGTGGTCTTTTCCTACCAAAATCTGGCCAGAATCTGACCACTTCTTAGCACTTCTTACTGCTACCACCCTAGGCCAAGCCATCATCTTCTCTTGCCTGTATTATTATAACTGTTTCCTAAAACGGTCTTTCCCTGTTTGAATTCTTGCCTTTTTCTGGTCTATTACCAATATAGCAGCCAGAATGACCTTGTTAAAAAAGGAAAGTCAGGTTGCATCTCTTCTCCATTTAGAAACCTTCTAAATGGCATTTCATCTTTCTTGGTAGAAGTCAGTCTTATACTGCTCCCCAGTTACTATTCTCCCACATGCTAGTTCTGGTGTTTGTTAGCTGTTTCCAGTAGATATAAAGAAGGCACCTTCCCTAAACCAGGGCTCCATATTGGCTATTCCTTTGGCCTAAAACGTCCTTCCTTAAGATACTCACACAGTTAAATCCAGCTTCAAGGTTTAACCCAAATGCTGCTGTTTGGTTAAGGCTTTCTTTGATCCCCTTACTTAAACTGTCACTCCCTCTCCCCTTTCACAGATTAATTTTTATCCAGGGTGTTAACTATATACTAAGATACAAGTTATTTTTATTTTATTTTTCTGTTATCTCCCCTACAGAATGCAAGCTTCATAAGGGCAAAGAATTTTTTATTTTGTTTACTGCTGAATACTCAGTGTCTAGAACAAAGCCTGACACATATTAATAGTATTCCATTAACAATGACTGAATGAACATGTACACAATTTCCTGTGAGAGGAAGAACGGAGTTAGTGGGGAACAGCTAGCTGAGAGGGATGGCCAACAGGAGGCTTGCCTTGAAGCAGGTGCAGTGGCAATAGGCATCCACTTATTAATACAGAGGGTACGCGTCTTTAAAAGGATTGACTATTCCCTACATTATCCAGTGAAGATAATACTAAATGGTTATATATTCAAATTATTCAGATGCTAAATGTAGACAAGGATAAGAGAAGATGGCAGAGGAGCAGGTGGAAGTGGGTGGAGTACACCTCTTTCACAGATGCATCAGGAATACATCTTCAGATGCAGAAGATCTTGCAGAGCACCAGCTTAAGAGTTAGTAGGAGTCCCTGACCACCGGAAAGGAATATACAGATCCACACAAAACTGGGTAGGACAAAGAAGGGAAGGGAAAAAGAGGAGGAGAGTTAGCACAACTGAACCTGTACCCAGCAGGTGGGGAAGTGGAAGGAGGAGTGATATCCCCATAGCAGGGCAATCGGTTGGGACAAAGGGGAAGCATCTGAGACTGTTGGAGAGTGAAGGAGCTGATCTGTGACAGTCTGAATGGAGTGAGACCCACACCGACAATCTGTGCCGTGGCCCTACATAGCCCAGGCAGGGACACAAGTCCACCAGAACGCAGAGCAGCTGGGAGCTGGAGCGTAAGCGCAATCCCACGGCAAGGACTGCTGCTGACTTTGGGGAAACAGCCTGAAGGGATGCGAAGGAGGAGATCGCTGTGGGGAATGCCTTTGGAATAGTCAGGCAGCCACAGAAGCAGGGTGCTACTGCTGAGTCACACATAAGGAGCGGAACCATCACTTCTCTCCCTACAGGCTGGCATGAGCAGCTGAGTGACAGAGGAATACCCCAGAGAAGGTGGCCATTTGAGTGCCTGACATGCCAAGCAACAGAGAAGGACCCCCATCAGGCCCTTGGAATGCCAGCTGCCAGAAGCTAGAAAAAGATTCTAACAGCACCATATCTCTTGTGCCCGTGGCTGCCAGCTTCCCTGCATACCTGGGGCCATCAGAGTCCCTGGGACCTAAGCAGTCATACCACCTCCACACCTGGTCCTCCCTGGGGCAGACCCAAGTCCTAGAAGGCAGCCTCAGGAACTAATTCTTGTAAATGACCCACAGGCAGAGGTGGGGATAAAACCACAATTGAGCTCCAGGGGCAGAGTGGACAAGAAAGAGGGTTGAAAACCTTTTCACCAGCTATATGAGCTAGAGATTATATCCACATGATCAACTAGGCAGACTCTTGTGTCTATGGAATGCATAGGACGACGAGTGTATCCACAAAACAAAATGCCCTAGCTCTGACAGCTGTGGACACTGGAGGCAAGAACCTACAGGAACAGAACTAGATTAGAGTCTGTGCTGCCCCCACAGCTGGTCTCTAGACCAGCTCCCCCAACACTGGAGGGCTTCCTAGCAAGATGGAAGTGGACTGTGAATCACAGTAGGGGAAAGGATGCTGACAGTTGAGATCTGAGAAAAACATTTATTATTATTCTTATATTTTGATTTGTTCTGTAGTTGATTCTGGTTTTCTTTCCTCTGATGCTGTACTTGTTGACTTTATTATTATTATATCTATTTAAGCTTTTGAGAATTTTTTAAAAACACATTTTATTTCCTTCATATACATCTATCTCTACATTGGCTTTTTGCAGATCTGTGGGGCTTTTTCTTTTTTGCGGTTGTTTCCTTCTTTATTATATATAAATTATACATAATAAGATATATATGTTATTTATATATTCAGTTCAGTTCAGTCGCTCAGTCGTGTCCGACTCTTTGCGACCCCATGAATCGCAGCACGCCAGGCCTCCCTGTCCATCACAAACTCCCAGAGTCTACCCAAACTCATGTCCATCAAGTCGGTGATGCCATCCAGCCATCTCATCCCCTGTCGTCCCCTTCTCCTCCTGCCCCCAAACCCTCCCAGAGTCAGGATCTTTTCCAATGAGTCAACTCTTTGCAAGAGGTGGCCAAAGTACTGGAGTTTCAGCTTCGGCATCAGTCCTTCCAATGAACACACAGGACTGATCTCCTTCAGGGCGGACTGGTTGGATCTCCTTGCAGTCCAAGGGATGCTCAAGAGTCTTCTCCAACACCACAGTTCAAAAGCGTCAATTCTTCAGCACTCAGCTTTCTTCACAGTCCAACTCTCACATCCATACATGACCACTGGAAAAACCGTAACTGTGACTAGACGTACCTTTGTTGGCAAAGTAATGTCTCTGCTTTTTAATAGGTTGGTCATAACTTTCCTGACAAGGAGTACGCGTCTTTTAATTTCATGGCTGCAATCACCATCTGCAGTGATTTTGGAGCCCAAAAAAATAAAGTCTGACACTCTTTCCACTGTTTCCCCATCTTATTTGTCATGAAGTGATGGGACCAGAAGCCATGATCTTAGTTTTCTGAATGTTGAGCTTTAAGCCAACTTTTTCACTCTCCTCTTTCACTTTCATCAAGAGGCTTTTTAGTTCCTCTTATATACATACAATATATACACTAATGTATACAATATATTCTTTTTATAGATATTGAATATATATACATATATATAGACTATACAATAAGATTATTATGTATAAATTCTTTATTATATATAAATCTTTTTATATACTTTTCTATTTTTTCTTTCTTCTTTTCACCATGTTTGTCAGTTTGTTTGCTTTATTCCTCAGCTGGCTCTCTTCTTTGGTCTTGCTTTCTGTTTAGTTAGTGCTGTTTTTAATTTGTTGATATCACTTATGGTTTCCTTTGCTCACAGGGTCACTCTCTTGTACTTCGTTTTCTTTGCACTATTTTGGTTTTGTGTGTGTATGTCCCTTTGTTTCTGTTACTATTTGTCTGATTTTCAATTTACCATTTGTCTGGGGTTCTTTTTTGTGTCTGTTTGTTTTAATCTCCTTTATTGCCGTAACAAACAGCTTGTGGGATCCTGGTTCCTCGATGAGAGATTGGGCCTGAGCCTCTGGGTTGGAAGCACTGAGTCCAGGACACTAGATGGCCAGAAAATTCCTGATCCCAGGGAGTATTAATTAGTGAGAACTCCCATGAAGGCCCCTTCCTGGATCTGAGACCTGGCACCACTCAACTGCTGGCAGCACCCAGCGAAGGGCACCTTACCCAAACAACAAGCAAGACCTCAAGAGGAGACAGGCTTCCCACAGACACCCCAACACACACCACTCACACAGGCCTGCTAGTTAGAGGGGGAAAAATACCTCCTCCCACCAGAAGGCAAGCACAAGTCCCTCCCAACATGCAGCCTACACAAACCACTGGACCAGCCTCACCCACTGATGGCAAGACCAAAAACAAGAGAGGATATGTCAAACACAGAAAGTTAGATACCATGAAAAAACAGAAATATTGTGCAAATTTAGAAACAAGGTAAAAACCCACAACACCAAATAAACAAAGAGGAAACAGGCCAACTACCTGAAAAAGAATTCAGAGTAATGATAGTAAAGATGATCCACAATCTCGGAAATAGAATGGAGAAAATGCAAGTCATTTAATACATTTAACAATGACCCAGAAGAAACAAAGAATAAACAGAGACAATTACTGAAATTAAAAATAAGCTACAGGGAATCAATAGCAGAACAACTGAAGCTGAAGAATGAACTGAAAGACAGAATAAGTGAAAATAACTACTGAAGAGCAGGATAATCACAAAAGAATGAGAAGAATTGGGGATAGTCTCAGAGACTGCTGGAATAATATTAAACTACCCACTCCAGTATCCTAGCCTGAAGAATTCCATGGACTGTGTTGTAAAATATTAAACACACCAACATTCAAGTTAAAGGGTCCCAGAAGAAGAGAAAAAAGAAAGGGTCTGAGAAAATTTTTTAAGAGACTATAGTTGAAAACTTGCCTAACAAGTGAAAGGAAATAGCCAATTAAGTCCAAGAAGCACAGAGAGTTTCATAAAGGATAAATCCAAGGAGAATCATGCTGAGACACATATTAATCAAACTGACAAAAATTAAACACAAAGAAAAAATATTAAAAGCAGTAAGGGAAAAGCAACAAGTAACATACAAGGGCAACTCCATACAGTTAACAGCTAATCTTTCAATAGAAACTCTGCAGGCCAGAGGCAATGGCAGGATATATTTAAAGTAACAAAAGGGAAAAATCTACAACCAAGATTACACTACCCAGCAATAATCTCATTCAAAATTGATAGAGAAGTTAAAAGCTTTAAGATAAAAGTTAAGAGAATTTAGCACCACCAAAGCAGCTTTACAACAAATGCTAAAGAGACGTCTAAAGGCAAGAAACACAGGAGAAGGAGAACACAAAAACAATAAGAAAACGCCAACAGGAATACATGCATCAACAGTTACTTCAAATGTAAATGGAGTAAATGCTCCAACCAAAACACACAGACTGGCTGAATGGCTAAGAAAACAAGACCCGTATATAAGCTGTCTACAAGAGACCTACTTCAGACCTAGAGATATATATGGACTGAAAGTGAGAGGATGGAAGAAGATATACCATGCAAATGGAAACTGAAAGAAAGCTGGAGTAACTATTCTTATAGCAGACAAAATAGACCTTAATATAAAGGATATTACAAAGAATAACAGGACACTACATGATGATCAAGGGATCAATCCAAGAAGACATAGCAATTGTAATATTTACACACCCAAAATAGGAGCATCTCAATACATAAGGCAAACACTAACAGTCATAAAAGGGGAAACTGACAGCAATACAATTAGTAGGGGACTTTAACATCCCACATACACCAATGGACAGGTCCTCAAAACAAAAAATTAATAAGGAAACATAAGACTTCAATGACACATTTAGACCAGATGGATCTAACTGATATCTTTAGGACATTCCATCCAAATGCAGGAGAATAAGACTTCTCAAGTGCACAAGGAACATTCTCCAGGGTAGATCACATCTTGGGTCATAAATAAAGCCTTGGTAAATTTAAGAGAACTGAAATTATATCAAGCCTCTTTTCTGACCACAGTGCTATGAGACTAGATTATCAACTGCAGGGGAAAAAAGCTGTAAAAAACACAAACACATGGGGATTAAATAATACATTTTTAAATAAGCAACAGGTTACTGAAGAAATAAAAGGGGAAATAAACAAATACCTAGAAAAACAAATGATAACGAAAACATGATGACTCAATACTTATGTGATGCTGCAAAAGCAGTTCTAAAAGGGAAGTTTATAGAAATAGAGTCCTACCTCAAGAAAAAAAAAAACACTGAATAGACAATCTAACCTTACACCTAAAGCAATTGGAAAAACAAGGAAAAAAATCTCAAAGTTAACAGAAGGAAAGAAATCATAAAGATCAGAGCAGAAGTTAAAAAATAAAGGAAAGAATAGCAAAAATCAGTAAAACTAAAAGCTGGTTCTTTGAGTAGATGAACAAAATTGACAAATCATTAGCCAGACTCATCAAGAAAAATCAATCAATGTGATACACCATATTAACAAATTAAAAGATAAAAATCATATGATAATCTCAACAGATGCAGAAAAAGCTTTTAACAAAATTCAGCACACATTTATGATAAAACTTTCCAGAAAACTGGAATTAGAAGGAACCTATCTCAAGTAATAAAGGTCATATATGATAAACCCACAGCAAACATTATTCTCAATGGTGAAAAATTGAAAGCATCTCCTTGAAGATCAAGAAGACGACAAGGGTACCCACTCTCGCCACTATTATTAACAACATAGCTTTGGAAGTCCTAACCACGGCAATCAGAGAGGAAAAAGAAATAAAAGGAACCATACTGGAAAAGAAGAAGTAAAATTCTGTTTGCAGATGACATGATTCTCTACATACAAAACCCTAAAGATACCATCAGAAAGAGCTAATTGGTGAATTTAGTAAAGTTGCAGGATACAAAATTAATACACAGAAATCCCTTGCACTCCTATGCACTAAGAATGAAAAATCAGAAAAAGAAATTAAGGAAACAATCCCATTCACCACTGCAACAAAAAGAATAAAACACCTAGGAATCAACCTACCTAAGGAAATGTAAAAGCAATATATGAAAAACTATTAAGACACTGACGAAGGAAGTCATAGACAACATAAACAGATGGAGAGATATACCATGTTCTTTCTTGGACTGGAAGAATCAATATTGTGAAAATGAAGATAGTACCCAAAACAATCTACAGATTCAAAGCAATCTTTATCAAATTACCAATGATGTTTTTTACAGAACTAGAACAAAAAAAAATCCACAATTTGTACAGACACACAAAAGACCCTGGACAGCCAAAGCAAACCTGAAACAGAACGGCATTGGAGGGACCGCCCTCCGTGACTTCAGACGATGCTACAATGTACAGTCATCCAGGCATTGTGGTGCTGGCACAAAGACAGAAATACAAACCAACAGTATAAGACACAAAGCACAGAGATAAACCCACACACCTACAGGCAGGTGTGATAAAGGATGCAAGACTTTATCTTTGACAAAGGAGGCTAGACTATAGGATGAAAAGTCTTTTATCGAAAAGATAGTATCTTCAATAAGTGGGGCTGGGAAAACTGGACAGCTATGTGTAAAAGAAGGAATTAGAACACTTCCTAAAACCACACACAAAGATAAACTCAAAATGGATTAAAGAAATAAATGTAAGACCAGAAACTATAGAATTCTTAGAGGAAAACATAGGCAGAACACTCTTTGACATAAATCATATCAAGACCCACTATGACCCACCTCCTAGAGTAATGGAAATAAAAAGAAAAATATACAAATGAGACCTAATTAAACTTAAAAGCTTTGGCACAGCAAAGGGAAACCATAAACAGGATTTGAAGACAACCCTCAGAACGGGAGAAAATAACTGCAAATGAAGCAACTGATAAAGGATTAATCTCCAAAAGATACAAGCAACTCATGCAGCTCAGTATCAGAAAAACCAACAAACCAATCAAAAACCGAGCAGAAGACCTAAACATACATTTCTCCAAAGAAGACATACAGATGACTAGTAAACATATGAAAAATGCTCAACATCAATTATTATTAGAGAAATGCAATAAAAACTACAATGAGGTATCATTACCACACCAGTCATAATGGGCATCATCAAAAAATGTACAAAAAATGCTGGAGAGAATGTGGAAAAAAAGGAACCCTCTTGCACTCTTGGTGGGAATGCAAACTGATACAGCCACTATAGAGAACAGTACGGAGATTTCTTTAAAAACTAGTAATTAAGCTACCATATGACCCAGCAATCCCACTACTGGGCATATGCCCTGAGAAAACCATAACTGAAAAAAGCACATGTATTGCAATCTTCACTGCAGACACAGAAGCAACCTAGATCTCTGTAGAAAGATGAGTGGATAAAGAAGTTGTGGTACAAATATACAACTGAATATTACTCAGCCATAACAATGAACGAGTTTGAGTCAGATCTAGTGAGATGGATGAACCTAGAACCATTTATACAGAGTGAAATAAGTCAGAAGGAGAAAAATATCATATATTAATGCATATATATGGAATTGAGAAAAATGGTACTGATGAACCTATTTGCAGGGCAGGAAAAGAGACTCAGACATAGAGAACAGGCTTATGGACACAGTGTGGGCAGAAGAGGGTGGGAAGAATTGAGAGAGTAGCATTGAAATACAAATATTATCATATGTAAAACATACAGCTAATGGGAAGTTGCTGTATATCACAGGGAGTGCAACCTGGTGCTCTGTGATAACCTAGAGGGATGGGGTGGGATGGGATGGGATGGGATGGGATGGGGTGGGAGGGAGGGAGGGAACATATGTATACCTATGAATGATTCATGTTGACGCATGGCAGAAACCAACACACCACTGTAAAACAATTATCCTCCAATTAGAAATAAATTAATTAACAAAATAAATCTCACATGGAAGATGTAATTCTCTCTTTCACTTACCTACAGTATTTCCAGAAGCAAATTTCACTGATGAATTTATCTTATTTTCTTCTGAAAGGTCAGATGTTTTCACAAGCAATGGGCTAGTGGGATTAGTATGATCTAGGAGAGAATTAATAGGTAAACATACAAGATATAGGTACCTGAATTAATAAATTCATAAACCTCAGAGTATAAGACAAGACTTCATTTTAATACTCTGAAGAAGTAGCAAGTAAATCCATGAAATATAAGACAAAGTAATATTTTAATAGGATAAATATAAACCTGTTTATATAGAATTTGTTATCTGCCACAACAGAAGATACCTTATAATGAAAAAATCAAGCTGCATGTTCATACATTGTTAATTTTATCCCTTACGGCAATTAGTTAAATAAAGCGCCACAGAAACAACCGTAAAGTAATTAATTTATTGTTGTTGACCTACATAGAAAACAAATCTACTTTTGAGAGACCCTAACTAAAACATTTAATCTAAAATGAGGAGAAACTTCAAGAATTAAGGCAAAATAAACAATTTCAAAGACAAAATTCATTTTAACATGAGTTAAAATTTGAACCCATTTTCAATGTAGATTTGTAAGCATGATCATTAAAATACAGAGAGTATTAGAAAAGTCACGTTTTCCAAGTGTCCGTATTTAAAATTTTATAAATTAAATTCAATAATTTGCTTAAATTTAAAAATATACACATACACATAATACATATATTGCTGTAGAAAGTACTATGTTAAAAATAAGTAATTAGCAAAAGGAATCTGAACTCAAAATGATTGCTTGCGTATTTTGGTTTGCTGCTAACCTAAAATATTAACACAACACACTAAACTAAAAAACAACCCAGCAACAGTTTCCTTACCACTGCCAGTTCTTTTAAGTTCCATTTCCTGCATGTGGATTTTGCTTGGAGTCATACGAATGGGAACTGGATGAACAATAGCAGTATCCTACAGACAAATAGGAGGACATATAGAATTTGTATTACAAATGTCAAGTAGATACCATGAAATAACCAAAACTAACAATACTTTAAAAACTAGTGGACAGAGTTCTCATTCACACTAAGCTAAGCATGAGAATTTTTTAATTAAAAATTCCATAAATATATTTAAAAAATCAAGCTTACTATATATGCTTAGGAATCTGATTTGTTTTATAAAAAGTACATTTTAACTTTGAATGATTAAAGATGTGAAGAAAAAATTGGTCTTACACACTTCACGACAATATTCAAAGGCAAACTGTGAAATGATATGAGAATCCAAAGACTGAGTAACAGATTGAACTCATTTTCACTAAACTGCTCAAGAAAACTTGACACTCTTCTTTTTCATGTATAAAACAAAGTTAATGAAATGCCCGTCATATTGTAACAGTAGGCACAATACATACTTTATATAGATTAGTTCCACAGAACTGTTTAAAATTCATGCATAAAACTTCCACAAAGGAATTCATTTTTTAAGTTAGGATAAGTAACACTCCTATTCTAATACTTAAACTTTTCATGACTATAATAAATCTGATAATCCTCAACTTAAGTCATGAGTGGCAAGGCTAGTTAGAGCAGTTAAGGAACTGGTAGAACAAATTTCTGAAAAGGCTGAAAAGTGTACGAGGCGCCGTATGGCAGCCTCTCCAAATGGGAAGGGAGAGAGAAAGGTGCACATGGGAGGCCAGGCAGGCCTGGCCCTGGGAGCTGAGCCCCAGGGGAGGAACCAGAACAGGATCAAGCAACTGGCTTAATGGCGACAGACCAGCTGACAAACACGGCCCCTTCTACGAGTAGCTACGTTCAGCTCCTTCTACGAGGAGTTGGCTCATATTTTGAATGTGCTGCTGCTAAAGACAACCTGAGATCCTTAAATTTTGAATACCTTGTAATGAGTTTATAATTTAGTATAAAGAATAATGACCTTTCAATTTAAGTTAGACACAGTTTTGGTGACAGTATTAGGTAACACCACAGAAAGTTGAGTTCCAACATACCATCTCCTGTTTTATAGGTCTCCTTGGCTAATTCTCATAATCTCTAAATTCAAACCATTAATAACAAATGAATTCCTTATTGCAATTCTATGGATAAATCCATTAACAGTAATTTCCTGTCCCCATACCAGTGAGACTCTGGACAGATAGTTATGTACTATCTAACAAAACTGAACTAACATTTCACCTACAACTCTAAAATTATAGTTATAAAAGATGAATATAATAGATGGATGAAAGTTTATAGATTTCTCACATAATAATGAGTCATACTCAGAAAGTTATTAACAATAACTCTAGATGTTGTTTGTTAATGGGAATAAAAAATATGGCTTCAAGAATAAATATTTTCTTAACTTACAATTTTAATAGCAGAAATAACTGCTAAGAACCAGAATTTAACATTCTAAGGCAAGATTAAAGGAGAAAGCAAGATATCTCATTATTCTAAACCCAAACAAACTAGGAAAAAACAAGCAAGGAAAACTTATTAGATACTTCAACTCATAATACTGATCTAATACGTATTCTGTGTGTATGTTTATAAAGTCAGATTTATAAAATTTGTAACAGAAATATTAAATCGCCTTTTCATGTATTTACCATACAAAAAACAGAAGTCATATTAATGACCCTAAGAAAAGAAAATCATGAAATCTTCTAGAATGAATATTCTCTAAATAATCTGCCTAAGTTTCTGTACTAATAAATCAATTTTCTGTTGCTATGAGCCTACAACAGCTTTACCCCACCAGATCCCGCTACTAGCAGGACAAGGCAGTTCCTGGGAGAGGTTTACAGAGATGACCAGGCCTAACCTCAGACTGGTGGACTGGAAGCTTGGTTTGTGACTATAACGTGCAGTACAATAAGGAGCATTTCAATATCCAAATAAAGAACCATAAATGCCTATGATTCTTTGAGTCCTAAGCCAAAAGATGCTAAGTAAAACTTCTGTTCCAAATCAGCATCCTCATATTTAAAAACAGAGAAAAAAGTAGAAAGACTGACTGGAGGCTCTGCCCATTTCTTCTGTCTACTCAAATCACACAAAGCCTTTAGGACCTGCTCCTACACACTTCACAACCATGGCACATTTGTATTATATATTTGAGTACTTCATCTGATACAATTCAGTACTTTACTGAATATTCTATTGTGCTCATGTATCTATATTTTCTACTTGGCTTAAATCTTAATATACTGTTTGTCTTATTATCCTGTTCATCCCTGCTTACTGTCTATTCCTATGTCACTAACTTAGTTCAGGTGCTCATCATCTGACTCGTTCCACCCCATCAATCCTTCACATTGTTGCCTGAATGACGTTCCCCAGCTACCTCTGCAGAACCCCCATCTTCTCATGGTACTTCTTGTCAGCTCGCAGTGTCTATGAGATTAAGTTCAGATCCTTGGTCAAGCATACAAAGTTCTTCCCACTTGTGTTTCAGGCACTCTCTTTACTCCCCATCACTGCCCCATACACACCTACCCTGTATCTCACTGCACTGAACTGCTCCTGCTCATGCTTTTCTCTCTGCTTGGAATGCCCTTGTCCACTTCTGCCAATTAACAGTTTCATTAAATTCATCATACCAATGAAATCTCTTTTGTGAAAACATCCCCAAACATACTGGGCTGAGTTATTCTACAGTTCTCCACCCACAGTTTGTTCACAGCTACATATGATAATTATCACAATCAGCTATATTACAATCATCAACTTGTAATGATCAAGCTGTGGTCTACTTAAGACTGGAATTTTTTTTGACATCTTGGTACTCCTAGAGAATAACATGGGCACCTGGAAGGGGGCTCCACCAAACCAAGTGACTTGGCTGGACATAATCAGTGATCAAATGAACTCCCTTTTCATACGCTGAGTGACACAAACATTCTACAGCACTCAGGATCAGACATAAACCATAGAGAAGACTAGTACACTGCACTTCTCGTCATTTCAGAATTTCCTAGCAGAAACAGATTCTACCAGAAGCTATTAACTGATAAGCAGTTCAACAAAAGTAATCAAGTTTCTGGAAACGAGATATCAAAAACACAATTTCATAAGAAACCTGGGAGCCCAGAGCCAACTTGGTTTTCGTGTGAGGTCACTGTACAGCTGTCTCTAAGTGCCACAGAGCACAGTGGAGCTCTTCGCAGGCTTAATGTTTACGGAGCAAATGCCTGCTTATCGAATTCCGGCTTTTAAAAATTGCTCCATCAATTCTTCCTGACATTGTAAGGTACGCTAAATTTGTGTATCTGAACTGTGGTGTTCTTTTTCTCCTGTGTGATTCTAATCTGAATGGATTTACTTACTTACTTATAATTCTCATTTATAAAAGCCTTGCTGAGGATCATTTGGGATTGTGACTACAGACTGTTCTGTGGACAGGCAATATGTTAAGTAAGAATTAGATGATGGTTAAGAAGCTCAGACCCTCACTAAGAGCAGAGCATTGTACCAATTACAAGTTTATAGTGAGACTATAATTCACCACCAGTAAGAGAAAAAAGATGTTTTCTGGTACCAGATTATAAATATTTAAGACTGCCAACATTATTAAATTTAGAGGTTTAAAGTCAAGTTTAAAATTTTCATTGACTATTAAAATTTTTTCTTCCCTAGAGCCTTCTGTCATACTAGAAATAACAAAAGAAAGTATTGTGTTATGTTATTTAAAACATTAGGCTGGAATTCACAAATTTGGATATAATTTCCAAGAAGTTACAAGAACATCACTGTTATTAAACTATTTCCCTGCATTTCCTGCCAGTCATGAGTCAATTTATTTTGCCTTTGAGTCTGTATTTTTAACGTTCTTTCCTAGCCTGAATTTCTATTTTCAATATCACTTAAGTGTTAGAGAATAAGAGAGTCTCAACTGCTATATCCTTCCCTGTAAAGTACTTTTACTAAAGTACTTTAAACAAAATTAACTTGACTCTGTAAATAGAAGACAGGAATAATATGGAGAAATTAAACTCAGAGCTAAAGTAAAATTTAGCTTACAGCACACCTGTCACTTTCCAAGGGACCTTAATTACTGCTTCTAATAAGCAGCAAAAATTGTTAAGCATTACCTTTTTATTTCTCTTCCATTTTTCAGAGACTAAAATCAAACATTAACATCCTAAAAGTGGTAAGAAAAGAGAAGCCAAAGGCATAGATAATCTACATATTAACTGTTCCCTGAATAATGATTATAAAATAGACACTTAAAACATTTTGATACATTATGTTTGAATATAACAGCATTCTCTATATTTCAATAGATACAAATTCTTTAAAACTGTAAAACACCAAAGGTTCATTCATTTAAAATGCTGAAGCCGTACTATTATATTTAAATACCACTTCTCCTCAATTTATATTAAATAACAAAGAGTATTTTTACATTTAATGAATAAAATGTTGGCTATCTTCGGTCAGAAACACCTCAAAAGAATGCCTCATGTCACCTTCTCCATATTTTTTCACTGAACTCATTTTTAAAAATCCTACCTTTACACTCTTCTTCCCTTCCTACTTACTTCCTCTTTTCTTTTTGAAAGGTGCTTATTAGCATGTCCTTCTCTTTACAGGAAAAAATTAAAAGAAAAAGCAGAAGTGAACAGTGAGAAGAATGATTAATAGCTAAGGTTCTGAAGTTTTCAAATAACTTGAGGGACAGGCGGAGCATATATGAAGTTCAATCTATGGGGATAATTTATTTTTTAAATCAGGATGTGAACTTTGTAGCATTTTCAAAGCAACACAGCAAACCACAGGAAGACAAGACAGAGGTCCTCTGGACAAATGAAAATCTGACTGACAATTCTACATTCTTTTGCTGAACTTGATTCTCTTGTAACAGAACTCAACATACTGATTAAGTCAAAGCTATACCATCTGACTATTAAATAAATGATGACACTGCATATTTACATACATAGTACATAATACATGATGTGTAAGCATACAAATAAAATAGTATTTACTGTCATTACATTGAAATAAACAGCATGTTTAATAAAAATATACACTCAATTACCAAATAAAAACAAAATTAACTATATCAATTGTTCACAAAATGCTTCTTTAGACACATGTACCAGATTTTAAAAACATAGATTTCTCTCACCAAAATAACTAGAAAATACAGAGAATGGTTAAAAAAAAAAAAAAAGTTCTTTCCACCACTGAGCACACAAAAATTGAAAAGCCTGCCACCAATTCCCTCTAAGCACTCCACTGAATCATGCATATCAGCTAAAAACCATAATGAATGAAAATCTGGGTTAATAAAATTAATTTCAAACAAGCAAGCTAAGTGATTGACTTACAGGATCAGCTGGTGCAATGTTAGAATCAAATTGGGTCAGAGTTTGTGAGCTTGAAGAGCGTTCACTAAATGTCTCCCACTGCTGAACAGACAGAGGAGAGACAAGTCAGCATGACGAGAAAGATGGAGTAGAAGATCACTGGAGAAGATTTAGCAAAGTAATTCAGAGGTTGCACTGCAAGTTGTGTTTCGTAGGCCTGACAAATTCCATTAAGTTTTATTTTTGCATAAACATTTTATATTATCTGTGTAAAGTGAGCAGCTTCACAATCAAGTGTACAGTAATAACTGATCTCTCTATGGGAGAGATTCAAAGCCTTACAGAATTTGACTCAAAACACAATAAAGGAACAGTCTAAGTGGTATTAATGGTAACAAGATAAAAATTTAAAAAGTTTTTTTCTAGACTAGAGAAAGAATAACTTCAAATCCTTCCTTGAAAATCCAAGTGTTAATGCGCTGAATTAGTGATGCTAATGAATTCTGATTGTATCAGAGTTTTGGTCAAAACAAAGCAAGTCAGTGTGACTTGCCAGTGCGACCCCTGAAAGATGATTCTATTATGTACGTGCACATATTTTATACAAATGTATAGATATTTAATAAAATATAACTGAGATAAAATGCAAAGAATTCTGGAATTAATATAAGTTGCACTTTATGTCAATCTGCAGCAAATCAACCCCTAGATTCAGCATTATGAACAGGGCCATGCCAGACCACAAGACAGAACTGCCAATCAGGCACCCACCTCCAGCCCCATGCTAGAAACATCAGAATGCGGCCACAATGAGAGCAAATCAAGCAACTGAGTATGTGTTATATATAGAAGATGTATTTTGATGTGAAATACTACTCTTCTAAAAGAGGTACACAAATATCATACCTCAAATTAGGTGGAGTGATAAGTGAATAATTTTAGTAACTCCATTTGAAGATCTTAGTAATAAATAGTATAGGATTTTTAGATGAAAATCATTAAAATTATCATTACAATTTGATTCTTAAGAATTATCAATGACTCTGAAGAAGGAAAAACTTTTGCACATATAAAATATATACACACAAATGTTTACACACAGACACAACTATTCCATTAACTAAAATCCTCTTTTTATAATTCAGTAAACATTTTTATGCTTCAAAGTTCGACTTAATATTTAAAACAGCGCTATTCAATTTGAGAAGACATGTAGAAATTAAATAATAGCAAATGAATACATTTATAAAAATTATCTACAAAAATGGCTAATGTAATCATTCAACAGTTCTTCTCTCAGATGTTTCAAAATCATAAAATTAAGATACATTGAGAAACACTGATGCATTCAGAGTGTCTCCTGAATAAAGAGTCCATAGTAATTCATTCTTATCGTGGGACATCACTTCAGGGAAGTGACTTACCAACATCTGTTAACATAATTAGTTTCTTCAATAATTACTGCTGCACAGGCACAGAAGAAATTTTTAAAATTGTAATTATCTAACTGTGGAGAAAATTAAGATGCAGACTATTTTCTCCCTAAAATTAGAAGACATTTATTTACCTATTTGGTGGCATGAGATTTTACCTGATTTCACAAGGCTGTATGTAAGCTACCTGGAGTGCAGAAAAACACTCATCTTTAGAAGCTTGGTATAATGGTTGAGAGCACAGTCTCCGGTACCGGACTCCTGGAATCCTAGTTACGCCACACACCCTCAGGCAAGTTATCTAACCTCTCTATGTTCCAGTTTCACCACGTGAAATATGAGATTAATAATGCTTACATCACAGAATTGTTATAAAGATGTAAACAGTTAATATATGTAAAGCGCTTTTTGAACAGAGCTGGCACATCAAAAGTCCTCAATAAATTTTATTGATTATTATTAGTGTTATCCCCTACAGTGCCTCATCTATATTAACAGGTGCTGAATGAATATTTACTGAAAGATTAGTGCTTCAAGGCAGAAAACTAAAATATAAATTCCATATGCTAAGGAGATTTTAAAAAAGAAATATTATTAAAATGTGTCAAAAAATCAATGTTAGTAGCATTTTGATTCTCTACACACAGTAAAAAAAGGAAAAAAGAAAAATTATGACATTCAGTACCTTATTAGTAAATACTACAAAATGAAACTTGCCAGGAATATTTAAGAAGAAAAAAAATGCAACTGCTTAAATCAGAGTTCAAAGGGATTTCTCTTCCTAATTTTTAATGATCACATGTGATTTTATTTAGAATGAAGATGGACTTTTGAATTGAGATGCCTTAGAGTTGCTTTTACTTATGAACTGACACTGATAAAAATACTTTTAAAATCTGACACTGCTTTTTAAAATGACAGAAATTAATAAATGCAGCAGAAACAGTGCTTTCAAGAAACTGACCCTATTCTATTATAAAGCCTCTCTACTAGTAAATGCTTTCAAGGCTTAAATTTTCCCTCCAGAAAAACACTCATATAAATGGTTTTATATCTGACAGCACAACGGATGTATGTTATAATGTCTCAGAAACAGGCATCTGTGATTATGTCATAAAGCAGCAGCAAGCACTTTAAATCTGCCAATTACTTCTCTGTTTTTCAACTGTACAAAATTAACTAGTGTCTCTTAAACCCAATATTTTTCTGGCTTTAAAAGACATGGAAAACACAGAAGCTTAGGGGAGTTTCTTCCTGAAAGTCAAAAAACTTTTATATTTGTAGCACTATCTAAAAGTGATACAAAAAAACTACAAGAAAAAAATATATAGATATAACTTGTTCACAAAGAAGACTGCTCTAGTAAGTTAAGCAGTGGCTTTCAATTAGAGATCGACAGAGCACTAAGGTTTAACTGAGGGGCTTCAGGGGGTACTTTGTGGAGGCAGGGCTTCAGGTCCTCTTCACTGTTTTATATAATCGAGTTCCAAAGTAATGGGGCGGGGGTGGGGGGGGAATGTGTCTCAAATTCTGTTTTGTATGCTGTGCTTGGTCTTATATAACATGGTTTTTATATAAAGTGGTCTTTAACCATTGCATTTAACAGGGTTCAATCACTCTATTTTGTATTAAACAAAATAAATTACTATGAATAGCTTGGAATACTTTTTTCATGTGGAAAGCCGGTTGAGTGGCTTCTCATATCACTTCTAATGCCAAGATTCCAAATCTATTATCCCAGGCTTTCTTACAGGAATGAGAAGGCAGTGTGACACAGCGGGTGTGCCAGCTGAGTGAATGTCGAAGGACTTGTGTTCAAACCTCAGTCCTTGTCCCTTACAGGCTGTAAGATACCTTGTCTAAGACATCTACCCTTTGACTGTTAAGTTCATGCACCTGTCTCACCTAACTCACAGGGTCTTAACAGGAATGAATGGTGGAAACTAAACGATAGTACATGTGTGAAAAAGGACTTCGAGAACCTCAGAGAGTCATAGAATTACAAGCATCTATCACAGTCACACTTGATATGGTCCATATGCATGCATGCTTAAAGAGCTATAGGCTGAAATTACCCTGTTTGGAACTTCTTACCTTAAAAAAGTGAACATTAGTGAAAGAAAAGGGAAGCGTTGCTAACCTCACTGCTCTGATTCAGCTCCGGCCAAGTCTGGTTTAGCGACGGCATTGACGGAGACTTGCTTGGAGGAGCTTCTGCAGGAGAGCCTGAATAACCTACCTCACCTGGCTGATCCCCAACATCTGCAATTTAAAAATAGAGAAATTTTCTGTAAACAATATATTTTAGTTCTGGAATGTTTATTTATAAAAACCTAACAGAAGATTTTCACAAGTAGTAATTTATAATCTGAATTTCCTTTTCTCATGTTCCCCAAACAAACATTTTAGCAATTAAACAGGCAATATGTATTCCTGCTACTTATTGTCTACCTGAAACCAGAGTTTTCCATGAAAAATAAAATCTAGTTAGAAATACACAGAGAAAGAGTGTTGTATGTAGCAATGCAATAAGGCACATACTCTGAATCTTCTTCTAATAGAGATGGATTGTAACAGTTCCCAAAGTGTACTTCAAGGAATATTAATCAGTAGTATTTTTTAAAAAGTAGGTTTTTCATTCAAATAAATCTGGGGATACCATAATTCTCTGTTGGACGTATCCCCATGCACATTTGTATATTAAAGACCTAGAGCAAATAAATGTTGTTTAAATCAGTCTTTCCCAAATATAAACTTTTTAAAAATCAGATAAAAAACCCTCAATATCCCCTTGGCATATACTTTAGGAAATGCTGATTTACACTAGTTCACTTGCATTTTCTCAACAAGTCTTCCTTGTAACCAAGAAGCAGCATGTATTTTTAAGGCAGACAGCAAAAGGAGAGAAAGAACCCAGGCACAAGCAAAAAGCAAAGTCAATATGTCCACATGAAACAAACTTATCGTTGTTAGGCTCACTAGCATTTACAGACTCAACCGAGAGGGCTACAAATCCATGACACAATTTCAAAGTGGTTTTTAAAGTATTCTGTGATATCACGTTCTACTTTTAATTAGTTAAGGGCTCATCTAAACTCTCTCAAACTGTAATTTAAAAATGGAAGAAAATTTCAACGGTAAATAAATTCTCATTCCAATCTTCTCAAGTTTTACATGGCTTTGAATATAATTCCTGTCTGAAAATCACATTAACTTTGCCAAATTAATGGAGTATACCTAATCTGTTTAGAACCTGTGTCAAAACATATGATTCTAATATCCATCACTATCTTTTTGTTTGTGACCATGGGCAAGCTGAATAAAATAAATAGCACCTGAGTTTCTCCATCAGAAAGGAAGACACCTGCCATTAAATGTTAGTATTATATTTCAGATTCCTATAGAGACAGACATAAAATAACAGTGAAGTATAGGTTTAACCTTTCAATCTATTCATAAGTAAATCCTTCACACTATAGTACTGAACACAGAACCTAATACTTACTAGGCACTCAAATATTTACTGAATGAATTACTTTTTGTGATCTTCATTTAAATTCATTCTTTAGTGTATTTCCCTAAAACCAGAGTTAACTACTGAGACTTTGAAAAGTTCTCAAAATTTTTCCTCACCTTATTCTGAACATGATTACCTCAAAATATCAATACTTCCCTTTTACTTACCCTGACACTATTTCTTTATAGTCATATCACACTGCAAGTTCTATCATATTTTGATAAATTTTGGTTTCATAGATCAAGAGTTATTCAGATTTCTTTCTTAATTCCATGCCTTTCTCAATAAAAGTGCCATAGTGATACAGAACCAGTAAGAAGCAGAAATGCTTTAAATAACATTCTATGAAGACTTTTTAACTCAAAGCTCTCAGAGAACAACTAATGAAAAAAATTATTTATGATAAATAGTAGCAGCAAATTCCTCATGGAGACAGCTTGTGGTTTTCAGTCTGAACAAAAATCATGGACTTTTTTTTCCTATGGTAACAAAGGGAAAGGGAGTTGAAGGAGGATATGGCTATAGATCTAACAGTTTACTGGAAGTGAAACTGTCAGAAGGATAGAGATTGAAGAAGTATCTTTAAAAGATCCCTCAAAGCAGGTATTAAAGAAACAAGAAACAGAATAAAAATAGTATTAACTATAGGATGATTAATTTTCAAAAAAAACTATTCAAAAGTCATATTCCATTTCAACTTAAGCTCCCAATACCACCTTACAGCACACTGGGGCCCTCAATTGACTGTCTACATCTCTGTTTTCCTGTTAGTCCACTGCTGAGAAACTTAGGGCCACAGTGCATGCCACTCCCACTGCTGGGAAGTTCAGGTTTGGGATAGATTTGGGGTACCTCTCTAATCCACTGGTATAAAGGTGCAGCGGGTCTAGCCCCTTGAGCCTGAGAACTGAAGTTAGTCACTCAAATAATTACACTTCATAATCATCCCAATACAGTTATTTCCCTAGAGCAGTAGTTCTTAAAACTGTGAACCATGGACTCCTGGGGACCCCCATGACTCTGCTAGGGGGTCTAAAAAATCAATTATTTTTGTAATAGTAATAATGCTTTTTCCCCTGTGCTGGCACATGCACTGATGGTGCAAAAGCAACGGTGGGTAAGCCTGCTAGCTTATCAGCAAGAATTAAGTCAGTGGCTCCTAAATACACTAGCAGTCATTGTGTTCTTTACTGCCACACATTCCAGTTAAAATATATAAAAATAAACCAATAACTTCACGAAAGAATGTTCACACTTAGGCAGTAAGAATTAGTAATTTTATTAAATCTCACCCCAAAACTCATTTTTAAAATACACTGTATGATAAAGTGGGAAACATATGTAAAGCATTTCTCCATATTAAAGTGCAGTGGTTTTCTCATGGAAAACTACTGGTGTTCAGTTGTTAGCTGAACAGGCCACTTTTTTCACTGAACACTATCATCCTTGAAAGAACAGTTGATAAAACTATATAATTATTCAGACATGGTAGGGCACAGATTTTCTCAAAAATGGATTAAGTGACCCTGTATCTAAAATAACTATTTTCAGTATTTGTTACCAATGACAAAGTTTGAACTTGTAAGTGAAAGTTGGAATTCTGGAAAATGTATATACCATGTCTATAAGCTCAAGAGCTTCCCAGTACTTAAAAGACTTCTTTGATAAGATAGGTTGTAATATTAACAACTAAACTTTTTGATATTTTACAATAAAACGTTCCAACATTTCAAAAGCTGTACAACTCAATGAACTGATATTTTACAAATAATCAATGCATTATGTTATAAAACCATGCGTGGGTAACAGCTTCATTCAAAGTGCACAAACAATTCATTAATATGGTTTCAGCTTTCACTGCAATTAATCTTTAAGAAATTACTGTATGTTGAGTTTTCGGGTAGTACCAAAGAATATCCAAAATTATATGAAAATAATCCTCCTTTTTACTATGTGAGGCCAAATTTTCTTCATGTACCAAGAATTAGCTATCTTTTTCTACAAAAGGCCAGAGAATAAATATTTAAGGCTTTGTAGGCTTTACGGTCTCTGTTGCAACCACTCACAATATGCTACTGTGGTCAAAAGAAGCCACAGGGAATTCATAAAGGGACAGGCTTGGCTGTGTTTCAATAAAATTTTATTTTTGGATGCTGGAACTTGAATTTCATATATTTTCATGTGTGATAAATTTATTCTTTTTTGAAAACAAAAACCACTCTTCGCTTGTGGGTTATACAAAAACAGTCAGTAAACTGGCTCTGGTCTCAGGCTTAAGTGTGCCAACCCCTGCTACACTTCAAATAAAGTAAAACACTCATCAGATTGAATGCAGAATGCAGATAGATGACATCTAAGCTGTCTTCTCTTAAACCAAATATTAAAGAGATTTTCAAACTTGTAAAACAATGCCACCCTTTTTGCAATACAGTTATTTTCCTAAAAATATCTATACTAGTATATAAGGGCTCTATTTTTATTTCAAAATAAAGAAGTGTTTTTTTAAGTGTATCACCTTTATTTCCTAATAAAGTTACTATTGATAGATCTAATCTATAAAAACAAAGGTTTTTTGAGGGTCCACAAATTTTTTTAAGAATATAAAGGGGTCTGAAGACAAAAAGCTTTGAAAAAAATCACTGTCCTAGAAAATTCAAAACTTATCTCTGGAATAAATAAGCAAAATTACCCATTGGTTCTTTCTGAATTTCATACACAGAACAAATGGCAGTAGAAAAAGAGCAAATTACCTATGCTTTAGAAACTGACAGTCATGAGTTGGAGGGGAGGCATTAAGCGTGTAAATTAACTGCGTCTCCTTCAACCCGGCTCCTTACAAACACCCAACAAAGGGCTTCAGGCCCAGCCACAAGGGTTAAGTCCTTAAGACTGCTTTCTCACGGAGGCAGGGGTGTGGCTTCCCTCTTACCTGATGCAGTGTTCCAGCCTAGCCTCCTGCTGGAACACTGTCAACCCTGCCCCCCTCCTCAGGCTTCTGCTCTGCCCCTGACATCATCAGAGCATCAGGGCTGAAAAAGAAGAGCAGGAGCCTAAATTATTTGTTAAAGTCAACCCCAGAAGGGCTCTTATGCAGAAAGTATTTCCATGTATAAAAAGTTTGTCTGGAAGAAACAACCCAGTATGATCATATTGATGTACTGTCCACCTACACTGAAAAGTCAGTAATAATAACATTTAAAACACAAGCCTGATTTTCAGGAGAGCACTAGCAAATAAACAGTCAGTAGTTTTTATCCTTCGAGCCTTCATAGACTCTGAAAAGTTCCCCAGATTCAATTCAGTTCAGTGTACCTCCTGAACAAGCTCTTTTATGAATAGCTTCGGTTTTATTCTAGGTTTATAACGTACCTAACCCAAATTTATCTTCTTTTCCTAGCATTATACTCAATATACTAAAAAATTATTTCAAAAATGACTGCCAGCTATTATTAATCTTTTAGAAACATAATACACTATCTGAAATCTTGTGGTTTAAAACTTATTTTCCTTTCAAGTAGCAAAACAAATCCAAGAATTCTTCAGTCATGAAGGTTCAAGGTTCTAAGCTCATTTAACAGCTTCATCTAAGCAAAAGTAATTATATCTTTTATTTATTTGAGGTGTAAATCCTATCTGTACAAGAAAAAAAAATTTAATTTAAAAAAGCAGGTTTCAATAAATTTTGCGTTTTCAAAAACAAACCCTATTAAATAGTACTTTTCTCATTCATATTTTTAAATGACAG